TGGATGGTAGGATGGGTAGGTGGATGGTAGGATGGGCGGGTGGATGGTAGGATGGGTAGGTGGATGGTAGGATGGGTAGGTGGGTAGGTGGATGGTAGGTGGATGGTGGGATGGGCGGGTGGATGGTAGGATGGGTGGGTGGGTGGATGGTAGGATGGGTAGGTGGATGGTGGGATGGGTAGGTGGATGGTGGGATGGGCGGGTGGATGGTAGGATGGGTGGGTGGGTGGATGGTAGGATGGGTAGGTGGATGGTAGGATGGGTAGGTGGATGGTGGGATGGGCGGGTGGATGGTAGGATGGGTAGGTGGATGGTAGGATGGGTAGGTGGGTAGGTGGATGGTAGGATGGGTAGGTGGATGGTGGGATGGGCGGGTGGATGGTAGGATGGGTGGGTGGGTGGATGGTAGGATGGGTAGGTGGATGGTGGGATGGGTAGGTGGATGGTGGGATGGGCGGGTGGATGGTAGGATGGGTGGGTGGGTGGATGGTAGGATGGGTAGGTGGATGGTAGGATGGGTAGGTGGGTGGATGGTAGGATGGGTAGGTGGATGGTAGGATGGGTAGGTGGATGGTGGGATGGGTAGGTGGATGGTAGGATGGGTAGGTGGATGGTAGGATGGGTAGGTGGATGGTAGGATGGGTAGGTGGATGGTGGGATGGGCGGGTGGATGGTAGGATGGGTGGGTGGGTGGATGGTAGGATGGGTAGGTGGATGGTAGGATGGGTAGGTGGATGGTGGGATGGGTAGGTGGATGGTAGGATGGGTAGGTGGATGGTAGGATGGGTAGGTGGATGGTAGGATGGGTAGGTGGATGGTAGGATGGGTAGGTGGGTGGATGGTAGGATGGGTAGGTGGATGGTAGGATGGGTAGGTGGATGGTGGGATGGGTAGGTGGATGGTGGGATGGGCGGGTGGCTGGTAGGATGATAGGTGGGTGGATGGTAGGGTGGTGGGTGGATGGTAGGATTGTGGATGGTAGGGTGGATGGATGGTGGATGGTTGGATGGGTGGGTGGATGGTAGGGTGGTGGGTGGCTGGTAGGATGGTGGGTGGATGGTAGGGTGGTGGGTGGCTGGTAGGATGGTGGGTGGATGGTGTGATAGGTAAGGGGATGGTTGGATGGGTGGGTGTATGGTAGGATGGTGGGTGGATGGTGTGATAGGTAAGGGGATGGTTGGATGGGTGGGTGTATGGTAGGATGGGTGGTAGGATGGTGGGATGGGTGGGTGGATGGTAGGGTGGTGGGTGGCTGGTGGGTGGCTGGTAGGATGGTGGGTGGATGGTGTGATAGGTAAGGGGATGGTGGGATGGGTGGGTGTATGGTAGGATGGGTGGTAGGATGGTGGGATGGGTGGGTGGATGGTAGGGTGGTGGGTGGGTGGATGGTAGGGTGGTGGGATGGTAGAATGGTGGGTGGATGGTGTGATAGTTAAGGGGATGGTGGGATGGGTGGGTGTATGGTAGGATGGGTGGTAGGATGGTGGGATGGGTGGGTGGATGGTAGGGTGGTGGGTGGGTGGATGGTAGGGTGGTGGGATGGTAGAATGGTGGGTGGATGGTGTGATAGGTAAGGGGATAGTGGGATGGGTGGGTGTATGGTAGGATGGATGGTAGGATGGTGGGATGGGTGGGTGGATGGTAGGGTGGTGGGTGGATGGTAGGGTGGTGGGTGATTGAGATTTGTACGGGGATGAAGATGGGGATGGGGATGGGTTTTGAAAAAAGAGTTCAATTTTCATAAGGGAAATAATTCAGTTTGAAAGTAAAAGTATTGTGGGTGAATACTTGTCATTCATTTAGGCAGTACCAGGTGACACACTGATATGTTTTTCCCTCCATTCGCACCTTCTTCATGTTGAGGAGCAGAGTTCGATTCCGCACGTGGGAACAGTACATGAAACCCATTCCTGCTGTGATATGGCTGGAATATTGCTAAAGCTGCATATTGTATACTCTTGATATTGCAATTTGAGAATAATTGAGAGCGAGGTTTTATGCAGCTTTTAGCAATATTCCAGCAAAATCCCGGCGGGGAACACGAGAAATGGGTTTCACACAGTCTACCCATGTGGGGAATTCAACCACTAGACATTTTTTTACAAAAACTAAGTTCTGCTAATCTTGAGAAGACACATGAGATGTTAACTGTGACTTTCATGATTTTGTCCCGCTGGTTTATTAAACATCCTGTCAGTTGTGTGGTAAAGAGTTGGCCAGGTGTCTGGACATGAAGAACGCCAGTGTGGAATACAGCCCACTAAAACTGTGATCGACTCCGGATTTGTATCATCTTTATGTAGTATTTAAGAAAGCTTCCCTCGCTTCCTATGTGTGCAGATGTCACTGTTTGTGATGATTATTGAGTGAAAGTCACCTCATGGCATGTATGTATGTTTGCTCAGCCTTTACACCATGTGGACATAGCTTTTATTTCCGACACGAAGACTGTCTCATTGTGTATCGTCTTCCTGCATTGATCCTGAAAATTGATCCCAACCTCTGCCATTTCCATATTGCAGCGCACGGACTGCCCTAACATGTAATCAATGGGAGACAGAAGGAAATATCACATTAATTACACTGCACATTCCTCTTTTATTGAGACGAAGCGTTATGAATTACTTGCTCTTTATCAACTTTTCCTGTATTGACTTTGACAGTCTGCAGAGAGTTATAGGAGAAGTCAATACAATGATGTCTGAGGTTCAGTGCTTTACTGTAGTTTATGATGTGGAATAATGGCAGGATCGAGGTGTGGACTCTTTCTTCTGGCAGTCTGGATTTTCACAGCTGTGGTGTGGATGAGAATTTTATTTCTCCCGCAGTTTGAAGCATGAAATGTGTGTTATATGAAACAAATATGCGTGTAACACTAGGTAATGATTTGAAGACAAGGTGACAGGTAGTTTACTGGCCGTCAATGTCTGTTCGTCCTCTGTCCCGTGGTGAAGTCAGCTGATACAGTCTGGCTGAAACATATCTCCTACACTCTCATGTTTTTTAAATACAAATTTTTCCATTTCACTTAAAAACATTTTTTTCTTTATGTGTTGGGGATTTCAAACTCAACTTTTGAATACTGTTGGTATATTCATGAAAATATTCACTGTGGTATTTGAGAATTTGTTCCAGAGGGGTTCTATAACACTTCTATAAGTATTCCTTTTGCAACCCCTGTGTTGTAGGTGGGACATCCAGACTGATAACTCATAAACACATGCTCATAACATAGTTGAAATCGTACAATTGACTCTGCTTTTGGAAAGGGCTTTGTCACTTTTATTTGACAACACAGGAGTGTTACAATTTTGACATTGGTGATTGGATGGGCTTCTATTTGGATATACAGTATGTGTCATGTCACTTCAAAATGAACTGAATATAAAGAAGAGGAGATTGTTCTGCAGTGAGTGACACAAATAGCTGTATAGGTCAATGACTTGGACCCAAGAAATGTAAAAGGTCACTGGCAAATAAACAAAAATGGCAGACAACTATAAGAACAAATCAATGAAATATGGTCATGACAGGATGAATATATATGATCTGGCCAATGAACGTCGCCATAAGAAATGCAGCTGACAGTATTTCCCTGTGATACAGAAAGTAGAATGCAAAGACACACTCTGCTCAGAATTTCAATTACTCTTTTTGATGGCTGTGCATTGTTTTATTAAATCAATAATGTAAGTAAGTAGGACTAATCCTTACTATTTACCTTTTGATCATGAAAGTTTGAAACATGTGATGCCTTGCTTGACATTTCAATCAGTCAAAAGTCTGACTACTTAAACAAACCATCTGTCAAATTGAAATTTTATGGGTTGGTCTATGACTGGTGACCGATGGCCATCTGAAACTCTGGTCTGTGTCTGTTGTACCAGATGGAGAGTTAGCTGTAGGACACAAGTAATGCCATAATGTATAGATTGTAGTTCCTTCACTGCTAATGTGCTCTGTTCTGTGTTAATCTATTGTAGGGAATAACATTCAGATGTTACTATGGCAGCAGTGAATCAGAAGGTAAACCTACTTACAGGTTCTAAACATGGGATTAAATACCTGTATATTTCATTTGAAACCAATGTGAAGTATTTACAGGTCTCACAACGGGAGATCTTCACAGGTCCCAGTCGCCTTACGGCAAGCATGGGTAGCTGAAGACCTATTCTAACCCGGATCTACATTGATATAATCGTGGAAGTGATGAGTCATTGGTTCAGTCTAATATTTTCAGGAGGAATTTAGGAATCAGTGAACATTGGTCTTCTTTTTACCATAATTGCTGTATTAAGCGCCTTGTTCAAATAAAGCACCCCTGATAAACTTCAAGACCAATCTGTAAGTAATATTTACAAGCCACCCTCTGAAACCCGAAGAGTTACATGACTGTCCTTATTTTCTTGTGTATATTACCGATTTCTTTACAGAAACCAAGCAGTGTTAAAGGGCTGTATAATGTCTTAGTGAGCACCCAAAACATTTCATGGAGTTTTGGACCAAGTTTATTCTCTTCCGCTGTGTCTCTGACAACAAATGTGACGTGTGTATGGCTTTAACCTGTCTAGATGTCTGTCTTTGTGACATGCACTAGATCTTTGTTCACAAGGTCTTCCACTTGTTTATTGGGTTCATGCTGGATTATTGGAGAGGCCACTATCATATTCCTGTAGTTTTGCTGATTTTGACATACAGCAACATTTTACACATTCATTGACATCGCAGTGCTTTTCTTCATCAATACAGAAATTAAAAGGTCCTAATATGACTCATGAATGGTGCTGTTCTTGATGTTCATTTATAAGGACTTTGATGCAGTGTGTCCTTACAGTATATCAGTTTACAAAAGAAGATCAAACACTGCTACAATAAATTGCCATATTGTTAATATCAGTATTTGTAGCTCGAATTGAGTCTCCTAAGAGATTCAGGCACACATGTGAACAACACCTGATAGATGTCACACAGATAAATGAAGTGGATGCTTATAATTTCAGGTGGTGCACCTGCACTGGTGGCCGATGGTGCGAGACTGCATGTGCTACCTGCTCAGCGTGCTGGCCCTGGTACTGGTCATCATGGACGGAGTGGTCAAGTGGTCAGTCAAAGTTTACAAACGCAAATTATATGCTGATTCAGTCCTTTATATATTGAGAAAGAAATCATATATTTATATTAATTTTAGTTTTTGTTTCTGTTAAGTACAAGTGTTTTAATGATTTACCTATGCTTCACAAATGTATACACCTTACCACTCCAGTATTGCCATATGCATCATGTCATGACTCCAGTATTGTGATATATATCATATCATGACTCCAGTATTGTGATATATATCATGTCATGACTCCAGTATTGTGATATATATCATATCATGACTCCAGTATTGTGATATATATCATATCATGACTCCAGTATTGTGATGTGTATCATATCATGACTCCAGTATTGTGATGTGTATCATATCATGACTCCAGTATTGTGATATATATCATATTATGACTCCAGTATTGTGATATATATCATATCATGACTCCAGTATTGTGATATATATCATATCATGACTCCAGTATTGTGATATATATCATATCATGACTCCAGTATTGTGATGTGTATCATATCATGACTCCAGTATTGTGATATGTATCATATCATGACTCCAGTATTGTGATATGTATCATATCATGACTCCAGTATTGTGATATATATCATATCATGACTCCAGTATATTGATATGTATCATATCATGTCTCCAGGATTGTGATATATATCGTATCATGACTCCAGTATTGTGATATGTATCATATCATGACTCCAGCATTGTGATATATATCATATTATGACTCCAGTATTGTGATATATATCGTATCATGACTCCAGTATTGTGATATGTATCATATCATGACTCCAGCATTGTGATATATATCATATTATGACTCCAGTATTGTGATATATATCATATCATGACTCCAGTATTGTGATATATATCATATCATGACTCCAGTATTGTGATATATATCATATCATGACTCCAGTATTGTGATATATATCATATCATGACTCCAGTATTGTGATGTGTATCATATCATGACTCCAGTATTGTGATATGTATCATATCATGACTCCAGTATTGTGATATATATCATATCATGACTCCAGTATTGTGATATATATCATATCATGACTCCAGTATTGTGATGTGTATCATATCATGACTCCAGTATTGTGATATGTATCATATCATGACTCCAGTATTGTGATATGTATCATATCATGACTCCAGTATTGTGATATATATCATATCATGACTCCAGTATATTGATATGTATCATATCATGTCTCCAGGATTGTGATATATATCGTATCATGACTCCAGTATTGTGATATGTATCATATCATGACTCCAGCATTGTGATATATATCATATTATGACTCCAGTATTGTGATATATATCATATCATGACTCCAGTATTGTGATATATATCATATCATGACTCCAGTATTGTGAAATATATCATATCATGACTCCAGTATTGTGATATGTATCATATCATGACTCCAGTATTGTGATATGTATCATATCATGACTCCAGTATTGCCATATGCATCATATCATGACTCCAGTATTGTGATGTGTATCATATCATGACTCCAGTATTGTTATATATATCATATCATGACTCCAGTATTGTGATATGTATCATATCATGACTCCAGTATTATGAAACTATATATCGTTGTATATAAGGCAAGGTAATCATGTAATTACACTGTATGGTTATATAAAATGTTCATTGTTTATCTGGACTTATCTTTGTAACATATTTTATAAAATTTATTCAAAATTTCATTCAATATTGTTTACATTCATTTGGGCAAAGTTGTATGTGAAGTGATCAGAAGAGCGAACAACTCAGAGTTATTTGCAGCAACCACGGTCAGATTACAGCTATTGACATATGAAACGAACTTTAGTGGATAGAGAATGGATATATATATCATAAATGCCATACATTGACTCGCTGAAAGTCATATTTGTTGTAGTTGGACTAGTATATATCAACATAAAGTTTTCGCTATCACTAGCATGGGAGCATTGACGGTGATTGGTGAAATTGTTCCATACGAAAAATTATCCGTCAATAGCGATCAGCTATACCAAAATGATACGCTTATTGTTATTAATTTATTTCAAATACATTTATATATAGTAAAGCTGCAACTAAAATAACATGATATTGGAATAAATTATTCCTGAAAAAAAATTAGTTTCAGAAACAATTCTTGTATAAAAATTATTAAAAGTTATAATATTTGGTAATTTTTAACCAAATCACCAACAGATTCCAAGAAATGCGTGCACAGCTGATTGCTACTTCCAGCTTAGTTTACGAGACAAATACAAACGGTAATCTTAATCTCTGCATAAAACACAATGCCTAGCAGAACAGGAAATACAATTTATGTATTAATAACCATCATGTCTATTGATGTTTTATCTCACATTTCAAATTTGTATTGACCAAGTTTAATTTTTATGATCTGTTAGATTCGCTTAAGGGACAGATCTACGATGTGATTTTTCTGCTGACAAACACGTTTTTATTGCAAATATAGGGATTGTGTATGCAATGGTTTTGTGCTTCATTCCGATTCGCTTTATGGACAGGGTATATAAATTAGCATCAATTTTGAAGGCTTGTCCGGGGGAGGGGGGGGTCGCTTTATAGACATGATATACGGTATGTATCATACCATGACTCAAGTATGTGATATATATCATATCATGACTCAAGTATTGTGATATATATCATATCATGACTTGACTAGAAGACTGGATAGTATGTTTTACTGTGCTTTGTGTGCTTATAGACATGATATACGGTATGTATCATACCATGACTCAAGTATTGTGATATATATCATATCATGACTCAAGTATTGTGATATATATCATATCATGACTTGACTAGAAGACTGGATAGTATGTTTTACTGTGCTTTGTGTGCTTATAGACATGATATACGCTATGTATCATACCATGACTCAAGTATTGTGATATATATCATATCATGACTTGACTGGAAGACTGGATAGTATGTTTTACTGTGCTTTGTGAGCAGGGTACTGCTGTAATATGCTTTGTGAGCAGGGTACTGCTGTAATATGCTTTGTGAGCAGGGTACTGCTGTAATATGCTTTGTGAGCAGGGTACTGCTGTAATATGCTTTGTGAGCAGGGTACTGCTGTAATATGCTTTGTGAGCAGGGAACTGCTGTAATATGCTTTGTGAGCAGGGTACTGCTGTAATATGCTTTGTGAGCAGGGTACTGCTGTAATATGCTTTGTGAGCAGGGTACTGCTGTAATATGCTTTGTGAGCAGGGTACTGCTGTTATATGCTTTGTGAGCAGGGTACTGCTGTTATATGCTTTGTGAGCAGGGTACTGCTGTTATATGCTTTGTGAGCAGGGTACTGCTGTAATATGCTTTGTGAGCAGGGTACTGCTGTAATATGCTTTGTGAGCAGGGTACTGCTGTAATATGCTTTGTGAGCAGGGTACTGCTGTAGCCTGACTGTATTCAGACCCACTGTGTACCCCCAATACAATCTCAAAATCCAACCATAAAAATAATGAAGAAAGCAACTTTTGCTGTTGAGGATTTATTCCATTTTGAAATTGTTTATGCATTTCACAGCAAAGGTTAGGAGGAAAAATGATATTTTGGATGACTGAAAACCAATACTATAAGATGTAGAATGTATGATAATATAATATGACCATATACATGGCTGACAATTTTAGAGATCTGTTTGTCATGTCAGAAGATTACAGCAAGAGTACCTCATGGTTCTAGGCCAGACAAACTAAAATATACCAAGTCAGTAATCTTAATATCAACACCAGGTTTGTGATGCCATTTGTTGACGACAGATACCTGGGAAGGCTTTTATGGGAAACCTAAGACTAATATGCCTGATGGAAAATAGCTGTAAGCTTAACACTGTGTACAAAGCTGTAGGCTGCAGAGAACATTTAATCACTTTGGCAGGCCTGCGTTACTGGTTTCCTCACAGTATGAGAATATTTAGGATTTAAAGACACTGGATATTCAATTTGGAATTTGAGGTTTATGAACATGTTTTGTTCAAGTTTAATCCAACCTTTAATGACTTGCTCTTTTCACCATTACAATAAGCAGATAATGAGATTTGTGTAGACTGAGACTGCTTGAATGGCTGGCAATCTGAGGCTGAAAGACTCTGATTGGATCGTGCATGTGAGCTTAGATGACCATAATTAATTGCCAATCAGTGAAACTGTGTTTGCGGAGAACACTGGCCAATGCTTTGCTTTGTTGCAGACATATCTCCAGATCTATCGATAAGCTTTTGGTTATTTTTGGTATTTAACCCAGGGGTTTAATTTTTGATTGGGTATCCACCATTTTTAGAGGGTATTAAATTTTTTTTACCCACCTGTTTCTTGACATTTGGGTATTTTAACTCGAAAACCTGCTTTGTAACAAACCCTATATATCATGTAAAACTAGGTGAATAGTAGTATACCTGTGTGCTTATGGCTCCCTCTCTGGGAAACCATGGTTGTTTTGCAAAACATAGCATTGTAAGAAAGGCTATATATCTTTAATCACCAATCAGCGATGGTTTAAGAAAAAAAATGAACATTGACTAGGCACGATGTGCTTTTCAAATGGCATCTGTCAGTAAGTGAATTTCACAATCGGCTGATACACAATACTTTTATCCAACAGTTGTAATATACGCAATCGTTTTATCTAATACTTATAATATACACATTAATTTTATTGCAATTTTATTTGTTGCGTATTATTTGATTATTTGATTCGTCTGCATATATCAATTTATTCAATGCATATTTTACGCAAATATGGGGCTTATCTCGAGCTCTGTTTATCCAATTAATCTTTGTTGTTGCTTGATGACAACATGTGTTTATTGGAGTCTTTTGAGAATATGCCTACTGTCACACCAGGCCGGAGTGTTTGTTTCACCCTTACTCGTGAAGGAAAACTATTTATTAACTCACCTGACTGAAAGTCGCCAGAAAGTTCTCACTAATGATGACAACCCAAATTGTTCAAGAGATTTGAATCCAATTTTCAACATTGCCACAATGGCATCATGAAAACCTATTTTTGACTGAGTAGCCATTTTTTTCAAAATGTAAGTTTTGTACATGTGTAGTTAGTAGTGGGACTAAATTCATATGTTCCGGGGTTTTTTTTGCGATATGTTTTGATCATCATTTGACCTTTTCACATGGATCATTGTGAAAACTGCAAGTTTTTATGGCGTTTTATAAGTCATTATTGTTCAGAATGTAATAAAAATTGGTACATGTACGTGTAGTTAGTAGTGGGACTCAACATAGGTGTTCCATGTTATGCGATATTTGATATTTAGACATTGATTTGACAGTTGCACTTCTAAATTCTCTCAAAAGTAATTTTCTCAAGCTGTAAACATCATTTCCTCAGAAACCAGCCTTGACCAATGAAGCTGAAACTTTACAGGATTGTTCCAATTTGTTTAAGGGCTTTTGAATCTGATTTTCAATGTAGCCACTAAGAACCTCTATTTATGGCCACTGGTCGGCCCTTTCTCGTCATAATCTAATGTAATGCCCTTAAATTCTCCCAACTTTGGCATGTATGCTTTTCCTGATGATGACATATTTCATTTAAATCATTGTGATTTTACAGTGTTTTTGGTGAAATAAATAAAAAAATTGTTTGGCATTAAAAATACTCAGATACTATGTAAGGCTCAGAGTTGAAACTTTGTAAAAAGGAAATGTAGTCACAGCTACAGATCAGCTGCGTATTTGCATAAAATAGCCCCCAAAAATATTCAAGACCCACTTACTTTCAATTAACTTGTGTATAGAAATGCATGCATTAAATGAAAAACTCAAATGTATAAAAACAGCATGCGTAAATACCCAATGAAGCTTTTGCAGCATGCATACAATGGAGCTAATTTCCGAAACACAATTACGAGCTTATTTATTCTCCGAGTCAAGCCTATAGTTGGAACCCTTATTTACATCTAAAACATTCTTTTATTGTTTTTTTAAATCTCAAAATGTTAACTCATTTTTGGAAAAACCCAATAGTGATGAATAGATGAGTGAAAAATAATGCTTACCCAATATAAAATGTAAATAACTCAATTAAAATAAAAACCTTTGAGTAAAAACTCTGGTAGTTGTTGTGCATTACATTATTGTTTGAAAATAGTACATTAAATTCATGCTTGGAGATTTGGAAACATTGTGGACATTTAGATACTTGTTTCATATTTGTTAATGCATTTGGTGTTCGTATTGAAATATTTTCTGCATAAATACTAAGAGAGCACCTTTTGTTAAAGGCCTGTCTTTGTTAACATTTTAAATTGTTGACTACTTATCCAGGTGAGCTACAGTGCTGTGGAACTATTTTTTGTGCTTAGATAAGTCTAAAAATGTTAGGAAAATATTTGGCTGTGATAACTTTTCAAAATAGCAATAGATAAAGAGTTTGCAAAACACTGCTCACATGGTATTATATTCAAATGACTTTTTGAAAACAAAATCTTAAGTGTGCTTGTTATCTTATTATGTTGCTGCCTACTGACCAGGTTTTTCACTCACAAATCTGTGAACCATGAAATAAGAAACATATGGCCTCATGATGACTGTCAAGAAAGCAGCCCTGTAGATTTATATAAATATTACTGGGATAAATCCAGCCTACACCATGAATAAACACCTTGGGCATGGGCCTCCATCAGTCCATCAGTCTTAGAAACAAGGTTAGTCAAGGTAATCTAGAAAAATACGTTTTACCACAATCTCATTAACATCAGATCTTAGATCTCACTACACTACACAAAGTAATGAGAACATCTTATTACAGGACGCGTCAGAACAACCTTTACGCAAACTTTGACTTAACAATGAAATGACTAGCAAGAAATAGACAATCAGAAACAGCTTTCTCAAGCTTTACAGCACTAGTTTCAAACTGGCAACTTCCATTCCAGACTATGTTTTTTGAAAAATATAGATTAAAAATTTGAAAACTGAACAAAAGAAATTCTGGACTGTGTAATAGATGGCCGATATTGTATGGCAAGACATGGGCTGTGGAAAGTCTCTTCCATTTGAAATGTTTATGCTATTGAAGCAGGAGATAGATTGTCATTTTGACAGAATCTGTTGCCCAGCCTGTATCCTCAGATCTTGTTTAGCAGAAGTGAGAACTAGACCTGAGTTAATGAGATTGGTTCTACGATGTCATTGCAAATATCTGACTTCCTGTATTGACTGCTATCTGTGACAGGTACGAGGCCATCTGTCTGTGCTGTCTGTATCTTCTGTACATCGTCCTCATGTACTTCAACCTGAGACTGGAGCACTGGCTAGTCCCAGCATGCTCGAGGTGTTGTCTGGCCAAGTCTGTCGGAGAGGAGGATGTCCTTTATGACAGAATCAAATCAAATGGTGCTATTCCTGAAGGAGAATTAAGTAAGTTTATCTGGGTGCATTGGTGGTAAGATTGGATATATGACCTCAATTTTTTTTGACATTGTTTTTTAATGTTCACATGGAACTTATTACAATGATATTATTAGTGTGTTATATTTCCAAATGCAGAAAAAGCATGTGAAACTATTTGTGAATATATATGTTGTTATTTTCAGCTTGACCCCCATCAGCATCTCTATATGAACATGTATATTTATTATAATACAATTGTTGTTTTTGGAAAAAATACCCACCCGAAATCAACCATGGGGAAATGTGTTTAGGGGGACATTGAAAATGTTGATGAATAATGCATTCAGCATTAGATCGTGAGTAAGTTGTCCAGCTAGTAGTATGTGGGATTGGGATGGTATTTGTTGCAGGAACATGATAGTTTGTCATACAACTATGGAGTTTAAGTTACAAATATGAGTGAGAGATTGTGTTGCTAAATACATTACCAAGAAGGGGTACAAACTTGTTCTGTCAAAACTGGTTTCTGGTATAACTCTTTGAGTAGCTGCCTCAACCCATGGTTAAATCCCATCTACGCTGCTACACTGGGCCAGACCCTTCCCTCCCCTCGTTGCTACAATGGGCCAGACACTTCCCCTCCCCTCGCTGCTACACTGGGCCAGGTCCTTCCCCTCCCCCTCGCTGCTACACTGGGCCAGATCCTTCCCCTTCCCTCGTTGCTACTCTGGGCCAGACCTTTCCCCTCCCCTCGTTGCTACTCTGGGCCAGACCCTTCCCTCCCCTCTTGCTGCTACACTGGGCCAGACCCTTCCCCTCCCCCCTTGCTGCTACACTTGGCCAGACCCTTCCCCTCCCCTCGCTGCTACACTGGACCAGACCCTTCCCCTCCCCTCTTGCTGCTACACTTGGCCAGACCCTTCCCCTCCCCCTGCTGCTACACTGGACCAGACCCTTCCCCTCCCCCCTTGCTGCTACACTGGGCCAGACCCTTCCCCTCCCCTCTTGCTGCTACACTGGGCCAGACCCTTCCCCTCCCCCCTTGCTGCTACACTTGGCCAGACCCTGCCCCTCCCCTCGTTGCTACACTGGACCAGACCCTTCCCCTCCCCTCCCCTCGTTGCTACACTGGACCAGACCCTTCCCCTCCCCTTGCTGCTACACTGGACCAGACCCTTCCCCTCCCCTCCCCTCGCTGCTACACTGGGCCAGACCCTTCCCCCCCCCCCCCCCCCCCCCCCCCCCCCCCCTCCCCCCCCTCCCCCTCGCTACTACACTGGACCAGATACTTCCCCTCCCCCCTCGCTACTACACTGGGCCAGACCCTTCCCCTCCCCCCTTGCTGCTACACTTGGCCAGACCCTTCCCCTCCCCTCGTTGCTACTCTGGGCCAGACCCTTCCCTCCCCTCTTGCTGCTACACTTGGCCAGACCCTTCCCCTCCCCCCTTGCTGCTACACTTGGCCAGACCCTTCCCCTCCCCTCGTTGCTACACTGGACCAGACCCTTCCCCTCCCCTCCCCTCCCCTCGTTGCTACACTGGACCAGACCCTTCCCCTCCCCTTGCTGTTACACTGGGCCAGACCCTTCCCCTCCCCTCCCCTCGTGCTACACTGGACCAGACACTTCCCTTCCCCTCGTTGCTACACTGGACCAGACCCTTCCCCTCCCCTCCCCTCGCTGCTACACTGGACCAGACCCTTCCCCTCCCCTCGTTGCTACTCTGGGCCAGACCCTTCCCCTCCCCCCTTGCTGCTACACTGGGCCAGACCCTTCCCCTCCCCTCATTGCCACACTGGACCAGACCCTTCCCCTCCCCTCCCCTTCCTTCCCCTCCCCTCCTCTCGTTGATACACTGCACCAGACCCTTCCCCTCCCCTTGCTGCTACACTGGGCCGGACCCTTCCCCTCCCCCTGCTGCTACACTGGGCCAGACCCCTCCCCTTCCCTTGCTGCTACAGTGGACCAGACCCTTCCCCTCCCCTCCCCTCCCCTCCCCTCGCTGCTACACTGGACCAGACCCTTCCCCTCCCCTCCCCTTGCTGCTACACTGGGCCAGACCCTTCCCCTCCCCTCCCCTTGCTGCTACACTGGACCTGACCCTTCCCCTCCCCTCCCCTTGCTGCTACACTGGACCTGACCCTTCCCCTCCCCTCCCCTCGCTGCTACACTGGACCAGACCCTTCCCCTCCCCTCGTTGCTACTCTGGGCCAGACCCTTCCCCTCCCCCCTTGCTGCTACACTGGGCCAGACCCTTCCCCTCCCCTCATTGCCACACTGGACCAGACCCTTCCCCTCCCCTCCCCTTCCTTCCCCTCCCCTCCTCTCGTTGATACACTGCACCAGACCCTTCCCCTCCCCTTGCTGCTACACTGGGCCGGACCCTTCCCCTCCCCCTGCTGCTACACTGGGCCAGACCCCTCCCCTTCCCTTGCTGCTACAGTGGACCATACCCTTCCCCTCCCCTCCCCTCGCTGCTACACTGGACCAGACCCTTCCCCTCCCCTCCCCTTGCTGCTACACTGGGCCAGACCCTTCCCCTCCCCTCCCCTTGCTGCTACACTGGACCTGACCCTTCCCCTCCCCTCCCCTTGCTGCTACACTGGACCTGACCCTTCCCCTCCCCTCCCCTTGCTGCTACACTGGGCCAGACCCTTCCCCTCCCCTTCCCTCGTTGCTACACTGGGCCAGACCCTTCCCCTCCCCTCCCCTTGCTGCTACACTGGACCAGACCCTTCCCCTCCCCTCCCCTTCCCTCCCCTCCCCTCCTCTCGTTGATACACTGGGCCAGACCCCTCCCCTTCCCTCGTTGCTACACTGGACCAGACCCTTCCCCTCCCCTCGCCTTGCTGCTACACTGGGCCAGACCCTCCCCTTCCCTCGTTGCTACACTGGACCAGACCCTTCCCCTCCCCCCTTGCTGCTACACTGGGCCAGACCCTTCCCCTCCCCTCATTGCCACACTGGACCAGACCCTTCCCCTCCCCTCCCCTTCCTTCCCCTCCCCTCCTCTCGTTGATACACTGCACCAGACCCTTCCCCTCCCCTTGCTGCTACACTGGGCCGGACCCTTCCCCTCCCCCTGCTGCTACACTGGGCCAGACCCCTCCCCTTCCCTTGCTGCTACAGTGGACCAGACCCTTCCCCTCCCCTCCCCTCGCTGCTACACTGGACCAGACCCTTCCCCTCCCCTCCCCTTGCTGCTACACTGGGCCAGACCCTTCCCCTCCCCTCCCCTTGCTGCTACACTGGACCTGACCCTTCCCCTCCCCTCCCCTTGCTGCTACACTGGACCTGACCCTTCCCCTCCCCTCCCCTTGCTGCTACACTGGGCCAGACCCTTCCCCTCCCCTTCCCTCGTTGCTACACTGGGCCAGACCCTTCCCCTCCCCTCCCCTTGCTGCTACACTGGACCAGACCCTTCCCCTCCCCTCCCCTTCCCTCCCCTCCCCTCCTCTCGTTGATACACTGGGCCAGACCCCTCCCCTTCCCTCGTTGCTACACTGGACCAGACCCTTCCCCTCCCCTCGCCTTGCTGCTACACTGGGCCAGACCCTCCCCTTCCCTCGTTGCTACACTGGACCAGACCCTACCCCTCCCCTTGCTGCTACACTGGGCCAGACCCCTCCCCTTCCCTCGCTGCTACTCTGGGCCAGACACTTCCCCTCCCCTCCCCTCGTTGCTACACTGGACCAGACCCTTCCCCTCCCCTTGCTGCTACACTGGGCCAGACCCTTCCCCTTCCCTCGTTGCTACTCTGGGCCAGACCCTTCCACTCCCCTCCCCTCCCCTCCCCTCGCTGCTACACTGGGCCAGACCCCCCCCCCCCCCCCCCCCCCCCCCCCCCCCCCTCCCCCTCGCTACTACACTGGACCAGATACTTCCCCTCCCCCCTTGCTGCTACACTTGGCCAGACCCTTCCCCCCTCCCCCTCGCTACTACACTGGGCCAGACCCTTCCCCTCCCCCCTTGCTGCTACACTTGGCCAGACCCTTCCCCTCCCCTCGTTGCTACTCTGGGCCAGACCCTTCCCTCCCCTCTTGCTGCTACACTTGGCCAGACCCTTCCCCTCCCCCCTTGCTGCTACACTTGGCCAGACCCTTCCCCTCCCCTCGTTGCTACACTGGACCAGACCCTTCCCCCCCCCTCCCCCTCGCTACTACACTGGACCAGATCCTTCCCCTTCCCTCGTTGCTACTCTGGGCCAGACACTTCCCCTTCCCTCCCCTCGCTGCTACACTGGACCAGACACTTCCCCTCCCCTTGCTGCTACACTGGGCCAGACCCTTCCCCTTCCCTCGTTGCTACTCTGGGCCTGACCCTTCCCCTCCCCTCCCCTCCCCTCCCCTCCCCTCCCCTCGCTGCTACACTGGGCCAGACACTTCCCCTCCCCTCCCCTCGCTGCTACACTGGGCCAGACCCTTCCCCTCCCCTTCCCTCGCTGCTACTCTGGGCCAGACACTTCCCCTCCCCTCCCCTCGTTGCTACACTGGACCAGACCCTTCCCCTCCCCTTGCTGCTACACTGGGCCAGACCCTTCCCCTTCCCTCGTTGCTACTCTGGGCCAGACCCTTCCACTCCCCTCCCCTCCCCTCCCCTCCCCTCCCCTCCCCTCCCCTCCCCTCGCTGCTACACTGGGCCAGACACTTCCCCTCCCCTCCCCTCGCTGCTACACTGGGCCAGACCCTTCCCCTCCCCTCCCCTCGCTGCTACACTGGGCCAGACCCTTCCCCTCCCCCCTTGCTGCTACACTTGGCCAGACCCTTCCCCTCCCCTCCCCTCCCCTCCCCTCGTTGCTACACTGGACCAGACCCTTCCCCTCCCCTCCCCTTCCCTCCCCTCCCCTCCTCTCGTTGATACACTGGACCAGACCCTTCCCCTCCCCTTGCTGCTACACTGGGCGACCCCTCCCCTTCCCTCGTTGCTACACTGGACCAGACCCTTCCCCTTCCCTCCCCTCGCTGCTACACTGGGCCAGACCCCTCCCCTTCCCTCGTTGCTACACTGGACCAGACCCTTCCCCTCCCCTTCCCTTGCTGCTACACTGGACCAGACCCTTCCCCTCCCCTCCCCTTGCTGCTACACTGGACCTGACCCTTCCCCTCCCCTCGCTGCTACACTGGGCCAGACCCTTCCCCTTCCCTCGTTTGCTACTCTGGGCCAGACCCTTCCACTCCCCTCCCCTCCCCTCCCCTCCCCTCCCCTCGCCTTGCTGCTACACTGGACCAGACCCCTCCCCTCCCCTCGCTGCTACACTGGGCCAGACCCCTCCCCTTCCCTCGTTGCTACACTGGACCAGACCCTTCCCCTTCCCTCCCCTCGCTGCTACACTGGGCCAGACCCTTCCCCTCCCCTTGCTGCTACACTGGGCGACCCCTCCCCTTCCCTCGTTGCTACACTTGACCAGACCCTTCCTCTTCCCTCCCCTCGCTGCTACACTGGGCCAGACCCCTCCCCTTCCCTCGTTGCTACACTGGACCAGACCCTTCCCCTCTCCTTCCCTTGCTGCTACACTGGACCAGACCCTTCCCCTCCCCTCCCCTTGCTGCTACACTGGACCAGACCCTTCCCCTCCCCTCCCCTCACCCCTCCCCTCCCCTCGCTGCTACACTGGACCAGACCCTTCCCCTTCCCTCGCTGCTACACTGGGCCAGACCCTTCCCCTCCCCTCCCCTCGCTGCTACACTGGGCCAGACCCTTCCCCTTCCCTTGTTGCTACACTGGACCAGACCCTTCCCCTCCCCTCGTTGCTACTCTGGGCCAGATCCTTCCCCTCCCCTCGCTGCTACACTGGGCCAGACACTTCCCAGATCATCATTTCAGGAAGCTAAGTTCTCAACCATCACATGTCAGGAAGGTAAATCCTTGACCATCACATGGCAGGAACGTAAATCCTTGACCATCACATGGCAGGAATTTAAATCCTTGACCATCACATGGTAGGAAGCTAAATCCTTGACCATCACATGGCAGGAAGGTAAATCCTTGACCATCACATTTGACCATCACATGCCAGGAAGGTAAATCCCTGACCATCAGATTTGACCATCACATGGCAGGAAGGTAAATCCTTGACCATCACATGGCAGGAAGGTAAATCCTTGACCATCACATGCCAGGAAGGTAAATCCTTGACCATCACATGCCAGGAAGGTAAATCCTTGACCATCACATGCCAGGAAGGTAAATCCTTGACTACTTGCTGCCAGGAAGGTAAATCCTTGACCACATGATGCCAGGAAAGTAAATCCTTGTCCACATGATGCCAGGAAAGTATATTCTTGACACACATATGTTTTTAGTGTGTGTTGATTAAGTCATGATCAGTTTTCAATACAATCATCAGTATTCGATCTTCAGAGGATTGATATATAAATGGCTTTGGAGAGCATCACAGGGTGAATTGCAAACACTGGGAATGGACATTGGTTCAGCCGATGTGTACTGATTTCCTTAAAACATCACTCAGAAAATGCTTTTATTGAAGTACGACCTTCCAAGAGAGACCGGGTAATGGGAGTAAGGACTGAGCTGTAGGTAACTGAGCTATCAGTGGGGCAGATAAGGAGAGCTTGCACTAGAACTGCTCTGGAGCCGCACATCACTCTCCTGGGCTGTATTGAGAGGCTTTACCGAGGATGGTGTGCTGGATACTTGCAGCATCATACCATCCTAATGGGCATTGACAACACTGACTTGGACAAGACTGCATAATCCCCTAGGCCCTGGTTGGTTGCAGATGCTGTTTGGACATTCTAATGTATTTTGTTGTAGATCACTGCCCCGAGTCGATGCAAATGCTCCCCCTTACCTCTGACTGTGAATCTGATGAGGGTTCATACCCAGATACCAACACCTTTGTGAAGCGGGCGCCTCCATCTGCATGTATTTAGCTTCTACTTATTTCAGAAAAATTAAAGATTAACTGCATTGGGAAGTTTGATTTGGCATCAATTTTCAAGCAATACTTTTTCTTATCAATTGTGAAAAAGCTGTATTTTTTATTTTTCACAAATATATATTCCTATATACATATATATAATATTTTCCTATTGGTTCTCTGTATTTATATGGTATATATAACCTGGTTGATGTAGTGGTGAAGGTTTCTTTAGTTAAATCATTTCTACATACCCTGGGAGCATTATGATTTTTCTTCCTTGAGGTTTTTCTGTAAATTTGTCTAAATCATATCAAGTCCTTGTACATGTTCTATGATATGCTTGCTGTGAGAAGATGCGAGAAGGGGGATTAACAGTGGAAGGTGATGTATGTTTTGCAGCACCACACAGGGAAGCAGATGAGCCTGCCGGGCTGTGTGAAGTTCCAAGTGGATGCTGCAAGAAGCTGCTCTGGTTCGTCTCTCTACCACTATGTGCCATACTGTTCCTGTCTGTACCCGACTGCCGAAAACAAGCATGGAAGAAATGGTTCCTGTTGACATTTCTCCTGTCCTTAGTTTGGTTGTCTCTCTTCTCATTCCTAATGGTGTGGATGATTACAATTATAGGTAAGTTTACTTGACTTTCCAGTCTATATTTAAGAAATAAAGTTTGCTCTACCTCCATGTGTAGTACTCATTCCTTTTTCCCGAGACAGATATAATTCAAAAGCACCATCACCCCCGGCTCAGACAATTTTGTGATTGCTGCGGTACAGACTCAGTGGTTTGAATATGTTTGTGGGCACGACATTATCTTGCCGTATTTTGTTCCACGTTATGTTCAAATATTCACCAAGTTTATAGAAACTATTTCAAAGAAAATTTATGTGGATGCACCATCTTGCTTGACAGTAATGGAAGAACGATGTTACCAAGGATGCGTTACATCATGGGGGGAGGTAATTTATACAGCGCTGCGACATCAGACCATTATGATGTAACTTAAAAAGTGTACTTTATCAAAGGATACTTTATCTTTAAGCAAAACATCTTAGAATTCTTTACTTTTGTGACACAAGGATGGCCCATTGATCCAGTATGAAGAGTAGCATCCCTCAGACAGTCCAGAAACTGTGGGGTTGACTCCAGATCCATCCTGGTTATGTTTCTAGGTTTGTCAGCACCATATTCATGTTTACGGGTTTCTCCAATGTTGGAGACCTGCATCACTTGGGGTTTTCAATGTCACGTGAACAAATATGGAGGATTGACATGGTCTCTAGCTATCTTACTGCACGTATGTGAAATCTATGAGTCCTTATATTCTAATGATGTGACTTTCATTGCCCACCGAACAAAAGGATGCCAATTATTACTTGGTATAAAGATTATTACAAAGATAAGGGAATCTGGTGCATCTAACAATTAAGGAAGTGGGCTTTTTCATTTCGTATGATTCCCAAAACATGTAGAGAGTTAATTTTTCTGCAAAGTAAATGGTAGTTGAATGAAGGCGGGAGGATTTGTCTCCCTTTAACTCCCACAGTGGCACCACAGTGCTGGAGTCATTCAGGTTATCCTTCAACCATGCACAGATACAACTTGGTGAAGGCTGTCTCTTAACGTGCTAAATGAGTGCAAATAAATTGAGCAACAATTTGTGTTTGGTTCTCAAGTGATTTTTTTAAAATGCCAAATCATTTCGTTACAAACTGCTCCTGATTTGTGAGTCATATGTATTAATAATCCTCTCAAAGCAGTGACTTATTGATGTGAAGATATAATGTGTGTTGATGGTATGATTGTTTTATTCACAGGTTTCACAGCTAATATTCCTGACAGTATTATGGGTCTGACCTTTGTTGCCTTTGGAGTCAGCCTCCCTGATGTTGTGGCATCGCTCATAGTTGTTAGAGAAGGTAGGTGCAAGTCTACCTGATGTTGTGGCATCTATCATAGTCGTTAGAGAAGGTAGGTGCAAGTCTACCTGATGTTGTGGCATCTATCATAGTCGTTAGAGAAGGTAGGTGCAAGTCTACCTGATGTGTTAGTATCACACATAGTCGTTAGAGAAGGTAGGTGCAAGTCTACCTAATGTGTTAGTATCACACATAGTTGTTAGAGAAGGTAGGTGCAAGTCTACCTGATGTTGTGGCATCTATCATAGTCGTTAGAGAAGGTAGGTCCAAGTCTACCTGATGTTGTGGCATCTATCATAGTTGTTAGAGAAGGTAGGTGCAAGTCTACCTGATGTTGTGGCATCTCTCATAGTCGTTAGAGAAGGTAGGTCCAAGTCTACCTGATGTTGTGGCATCTATCATAGTTGTTAGAGAAGGTAGGTGCAAGTCTCCCTAATGTGTTAGTATCACACATAGTTGTTAGAGAAGGTAGGTGCAAGTCTACCTGATGTTGTGGCATCTATCATAGTTGTTAGAGAAGGTAGGTGCAAGTCTACCTGATGTTGTGGCATCGCTCATAGTCGTTAGAGAAGGTAGGTGCAAGTCTACCTGATGTTGTGGCATCTCTCATAGTCGTTAGAGAAGGTAGGTCCAAGTCCACCTGATGTTGTGGCATCGCTCATAGTCGTTAGAGAAGGTAGGTGCAAGTCTACCTGATGTTGTGGCATCTCTCATAGTTGTTAGAGAAGGTAGGTCCAAGTCTACCTGATGTTGTGGCATCTATCATAGTTGTTAGAGAAGGTAGGTGCAAGTCTACCTGATGTTGTGGCATCTCTCATAGTCATAGAGAAGGTAGGTGCAAGTCTACCTGATGTTGTGGCATCTATCATAGTTGTTAGAGAAGGTAGGTGCAAGTCTACCTGATGTTGTGGCATCGCTCATAGTCGTTAGAGAAGGTAGGTGCAAGTCTACCTGATGTTGTGGCATCTATCATAGTCGTTAGAGAAGGTAGGTCCAAGTCCACCTGATGTTGTGGCATCGCTCATAGTCGTTAGAGAAGGTAGGTGCAAGTCTACCTGATGTTGTGGCATCTATCATAGTCGTTAGAGAAGGTAGGTCCAAGTCCACCTGATGTTGTGGCATCGCTCATAGTCGTTAGAGAAGGTAGGTGCAAGTCTACCTGATGTTGTGGCATCTATCATAGTTGTTAGAGAAGGTAGGTGCAAGTCTACCTGATGTTGTGGCATCTCTCATAGTTGTTAGAGAAGGTAGGTGCAAGTCTACCTGATGTGTTAGTATCACAAATAGTCGTTGGAGAAGGTAGGTGCAAGTCTACCTGATGTGTTAGTATCACAAATAGTCGTTGGAGAAGGTAGGTGCAAGTCTAAACACTGCTGAGTTTAACTCACTCATGCATTAACATATATGTACTAACTTTGGCCTTCTTGTAAGACTGAAGTTGTCTGGTGGTGGTACGAAGCGGTATCATGTTGGTTTTCTTTATTTGCAGGATTGGGGGATATGGCAGTTTCTAATGCAATAGGAAGCAATGTGTTCGACATCCTTGTATGCCTTGGAGTACCTTGGTTCCTCCAAACAGCAGTTCTCCGACCAGGCACTGAGGTGCAGGTCTATAGTGCAGGTAGGCAACAACCTCACAACATCAGTTTATCTTCTTCAGACCCACACCATGTCATGCAGTCTCACCCAAAGTAACACAGTTATCTATGTATTCTCCAGGCTTGACATACACTGGTCTCACCCAAAGTAACCCAGTTATCTATGTATTCTCCAGGCTTGACATACACTGGTCTCACCCAAAGTAACCCAGTTATCTATGTATTCTCCAGGCTTGACATACACCAGTCTCACCCAATGTAACACAGTTGTCTATGTATTCTCCAGGCTTGACATACACTGGTCTCACCCAAAGTAACCCAGTTATCTATGTATTCTCCAGGCTTGACATACACCAGTCTCACCCAATGTAACACAGTTGTCTATGTATTCTCCATGCTTGACATACACTGGTCTCACCTAATGTAACCCAGTTATCTATGTATTCTCCAGGCTTGACATACACTGGTCTCACCCAATGTAACCTAGTTATCTATGTATTCTCCAGGCTTGACATACACTGGTCTCGTCCAATGTAACACAATTATCTATGTATTCTCCAGGCTTGACATACACCAGTCTCACCCAATGTAACACAGTTATCTATGTATTCTCCAGGCTTGACATACACCAGTCTCACCCAAAGTAACCCAGTTACCTATGTATTCTCCAGGCTTGACATACACCAGTCTCACCCAATGTAACACAGTTATCTATGTATTCTCCAGGCTTGACATACACTGGTCTCACCCAATGTAACACAGTTATCTATGTATTCTCCAGGCTTGACATACACTGGTCTCACCCAATGTAACACAGTTATCTATGTATTCTCCAGGCTTGACATACACTGGTCTCACCCAATGTAACACAGTTATCTATGTATTCTCCAGGCTTGACATACACCAGTCTCACCCAAAGTAACCCAGTTACCTATGTATTCTCCATGCTTGACATACACTGGTCTCACCCAATGTAACACAGTTATCTATGTATTCTCCAGGCTTGACATACACCAGTCTCACCCAATGTAACACAGTTATCTATGTATTCTCCAGGCTTGACATACACTGGTCTCACCCAATGTAACACAGTTGTCTATGTATTCTCCATGCTTGACATACACTGGTCTCACCCAATGTAACACAGTTGTGTATGTATTCTCCAGGCTTGACGTACACTGGTCTCACCCAATGTAACACAGTTTTCTATGTATTCTCCAGGCTTGACAGACTGCAGTCTCACCCAATGTAACACAGTTATCTATGTATTTTCAAGGCTTGACATACACTGGTCTCACCCAATGTAACCCAGTTATCTATGTATTCTCCAGGCTTGACATACACTGGTCTCACCCAATGTAACACAGTTATCTATGGATTTTCCAGGCTTGACATACACTGGTCTCACCCAGTGTAACACAGTTGTCTATGTATTCTCCAGGCTTGACATACACTGGTCTCACCCAATGTAACACAGTTGTCTATGTATTCTCCAGGTTTGACATACACTGGTCTCACCCAAAGTAACCCAATTATGTATGTATTTTCCAGGCATGACATACACCAGTCTCACCCAATGTAACAAAGTTATCTATGTATTCTCCAGGCTTGACATACACTGGTCTCACCCAATGTAACACAGTTATCTATGTATTCTCCAGGCTTGACATACACTGGTCTCACCCAAAGTAACCCAGTTATCTATGTATTCTCCAGGCTTGACATACACCAGTCTCACCCAATGTAACAAAGTTATCTATGTATTCTCCAGGCTTGACATACACCAGTCTCACCCAATGTAACACAGTTATCTATGTATTCTCCAGGCTTGACATACACCAGTCTAACCCAACTTAACCCAGTTGTCTATGTATTCTCCATGCTTGACATACACTGGTCTCACCCAATTTAACCCAGTTGTCTATGTATTCTCCAGGCTTGACATACTGCCGTCTCACCCAATTTAACACAGTTATCTATGTATTCTCCAGGCTTGACGTACACTGGTCTCACCCAATGTAACACAGTTATCTATGTATTCTCCAGGCTTGACGTACTCCAGCCTGACTCTGCTGTCCACGGTTGTTTTCCTGCTAGTGGCCACACATCTGAATGGCTGGAAGCTGGACAAGAAGTACGGGGCAGTCCTGCTCGTGGTATACCTGATCTACACAGTGCTAGCTTCACTGTATGAACTCAATATATTCGGCTACTTCCATCCTGTGGAGTGCCCCAGCAATTATTAAGTGATGACTCTCATAGTGTTTTAAAAGTTAAGGTTTTTCATGTGTTTCTTTGGTACAAGTTAAGCAGATGATATTAAACATGTTCTTATAAGAAATATCTGCAGTGTGACTTGCAGCACAAGTATGATCCCGACTACTAAAGCAAACAAAATGGCAAAAATCAAAACTCAAAACATTATTGCATTTAATGTAGCTCTTGCATTGTTACAGTTTCTTTCTACTTTATTTATGGTGTAAGATCAAACTGGATGAAACATCATGAAGATAATTAATTTGTGACTGTCTAGGTCAGAAATGATGACATATCAACTGAGGTTATCTTGTGGCCATATGTCTTTTGTCAGTTAACGTACATTCCTATGTCCTGTATATCATTCATCAAATATCCACTTTTCCTCTTTGAATATGCCATGAGTGTTTACTGGTTCTAAGAGCTGAAGTATGTGTGATCTTACGTTGTAAGTGTGCTTCAGATTTAGTTAGAAACTTGGAGAATGAGGCTTTGTAAAATAGAATGAGTTTTAAGAATGTCTCTGTTGATGGCTTGCCTTGTACCAAAGATTGCTTCTTCAGTTCAATGCGGAGCTAAACAAAGATAATGGTTGCTATTTGGCACTGTCCACAGACCAGGAACCCGTTGTGATATTCAATGTCTGTGTTTCTCTCATCAAACATGGAGAAAGTTAATGTTGCAATTCTACTTGTTACTTATCTAGAAGCAGCTGCCTCACTTGTGTTACATTGCCTTGTTTTGTGTGTTGCTGTTATTCACTTCATTCTAATCAGGTGAGATGAATGGAAGCAGAAGTTGTTGTTAGGGTCAACACAGCCCGGTCATGATCTGCCCATCTTGCAGGAACACCCCGTGAAGGTCTTCACCAGATGTTACAGGGTCTCCTGAGAGGTCCTCACTTGAACCTGTTTGTTGAAGGGCTGTAACATGCCACAGAATGAACACTATTCACATCTGTAGCTGAAACATATGGAACTGAAACGTCCTGATGGAGACGCAGGAACACACACAGGTGTTGCAGATTAATATCTGCTGATGTCTTTATGAGAATATGTGTCACATAGTGTTTGTATACTCCCTATGGAACTGAGAATGTATTTGAGATTTATCCTGTTCCTTTGACAGAGGTATTAATGTCACATGCTTTGAGAATATGTTGTTTGACATCTTGTGCTTTGTAAATGGATTTAAATGGAACGGATTGATAAGAAAAGGTGAACAAGTCCATTTTCACCCATCATTTCAAACCAAGTTTATCTTAATTCTTTGATTGGCATTGTAGATCCTGGGAAATGTAATAACCGCTTGTTGGTTTCCACTGATCCAGCTTTTGATGCATATACTGGCCCAAATTAACATTATTGTTATGGAGGTATCATTAAGAGAGTTGATGTATTATTAAATGCCATTCTGAAAGCGTTATTAAACTTAAGTTTGACCATCTTTATCAGCATGCGGTAACTGCTAGGTGGGTTGATCATGTGCCAGACTGTGTTATTTCAAGTTGGTGTCTTGTTAAATTTGTATGTTAAGTTATCATATGATTTATGTTCTGTTAAATGCTTATATTTGTTTTTCTTATTGATTTGTTGCAGAAGAATGTTATATTTTCTTTGTTGTATGATTGTTGATGTTCAAAAGTATATATACTACATGGGGTCAGGGAGGTTACCTGTCCTTGAGAGCATATATACAATACTGAGAGACAGACAGGTTACCTGTCCTTGAGAGCATGTATACAGTATTGAGGGCCAAGGAGGTTTACCTGTCTTCAAGAGCATGTATACAACACTGAGGGACAGACAGGTTACCTGTTCTTGAGAGCATGTATACAATACTGAGGGACAGGGAGGTTACCTGTTCTTGAGAGCATGTATACAATACTGAGGGTCAGGGAGGTTTACCTGTCTTCAAGAGCATGTATACAATACTGAGGGACAGACAGGTTACCTGTTCTTGAGAGCATGAATACAATACTGAGGGACAGACATGTTACCTGTTCTTGAGAGCATGTATACAATACTGAGGGTCAGGGAGGTTTACCTGTCTTCAAGAGCATGTATACAATACTGAGGGGCAGACAGGTTACCTGTTCTTGAGAGCATGTATACAATACTAAGGGACAGGGAGGTTACCTGATCTTGAGAGCATGTATACAATACTGAGGGTCAGGGAGGTTTACCTGTCTTCAAGAGCATGTATACAACACAAGGGGTTAGGGAAATTTACCTGTCTTCAAGAGCATGTATACAACACAGGGGCCCAGGGAGGTTTACCTGTCTTCAAGAGCATGTATACAACACAAGGGGTTAGGGAGATATACCTGTCTTCAAGAGCATGTATACAACACTAGGGGTTAGGGAGGTTTACCTGTCTTCAAGAGCATGTATACAACACTAGGGGTTAGGGAGATTTACCTGTCTTCAAGAGCATGTATACAACATTAGGGGTTAGGGAGATTTACCTGTCTTCAAGAGCATGTATACAACACAAGGGGTTAGGGAGGTTTACCTGTCTTCAAGAGCATGTATACAACACTAGGGGTTAGGGAGATTTACCTGTCTTCAAGAGCATGTATACAACACTAGGGGTTAGGGAGATTTACCTGTCTTCAAGAGCATGTATAAACACTAGGGGTTAGGGAGATTTACCTGTCTTCAAGAGCATGTATACAACACTAGGGGTTAGGGAGATTTACCTGTCTTCAAGAGCATGTATACTACACAGGGGCCCAGGGAGGTTTACCTGTCTTCAAGAGCATGTATACAACACAAGGGGTTAGGGAGGTTTACCTGTCTTCAAGAGCTAGTATACAACACTAGGGGTTAGGGAGATTTACCTGTCTTCAAGAGCATGTATACAACACTAGGGGTTAGGGAGATTTACCTGTCTTCAAGAGCATGTATACCACACAGGGGCCCAGGGAGGTTTACCTGTCTTCAAGAGCATGTATACAACACAAGGGGTTAGGGAGATATACCTGTCTTCAAGAGCATGTATACAACACTAGGGGTTAGGGAGATTTACCTGTCCTCAAGAGCATGTATACAACACAGGGGGTTAGGGAGATTTACCTGTCTTCAAGAGCATGTATACAACACTAGGGGTTAGGGAGGTTTACCTGTCTTCAAGAGCATGTATACAACACTAGGGGTTAGGGAGATTTACCTGTCTTCAAGAGCATGTATACAACATTAGGGGTTAGGGAGATTTACCTGTCTTCAAGAGCATGTATACAACACAAGGGGTTAGGGAGGTTTACCTGTCTTCAAGAGCATGTATACAACACTAGGGGTTAGGGAGATTTACCTGTCTTCAATAGCATGTATACAACACTAGGGGTTAGGGAGATTTACCTGTCTTCAAGAGCATGTATAAACACTAGGGGTTAGGGAGATTTACCTGTCTTCAAGAGCATGTATACAACACTAGGGGTTAGGGAGATTTACCTGTCTTCAAGAGCATGTATACTACACAGGGGCCCAGGGAGGTTTACCTGTCTTCAAGAGCATGTATACAACACAAGGGGTTAGGGAGGTTTACCTGTCTTCAAGAGCTAGTATACAACACTAGGGGTTAGGGAGATTTACCTGTCTTCAAGAGCATGTATACAACACTAGGGGTTAGGGAGATTTACCTGTCTTCAAGAGCATGTATACTACACAGGGGCCCAGGGAGGTTTACCTGTCTTCAAGAGCATGTATACAACACTAGGGGTTAGGGAGATTTACCTGTCTTCAAGAGCATGTATACAACACTAGGGGTTAGGGAGATTTACCTGTCTTCAAGAGCATGTATACTACACAGGGGCCCAGGGAGGTTTACCTGTCTTCAAGAGCATGTATGCTAACACAAGGGGTTAGGAAGGTTTACCTGTCTTCAAGAGCATGTATACAACACAATGGGTTAGGGAGATTTACCTGTCTTCAAGTGCATGTATACTACACAGGGGCCCAGGGAGGTTTACCTGTCTTCAAGAGCATGTATACAACACAAGGGGTTAGGGAGGTTTACCTGTCTTCAAGAGCATGTATACAACACAAGGGGTTAGGGAGATTTACCTGTCTTCAAGAGCATGTATACTACACAGGGGTTAGGGAGATTTACCTGTCTTCAAGAGCATGTATAAACACTAGGGGTTAGGGAGATTTACCTGTCTTCAAGAGCATGTATACAACACTAGGGGTTAGGGAGATTTACCTGTCTTCAAGAGCATGTATACAACATTAGGGGTTAGGGAGATTTACCTGTCTTCAAGAGCATGTATACAACACAAGGGGTTAGGGAGGTTTACCTGTCTTCAAGAGCATGTATACAACACTAGGGGTTAGGGAGATTTACCTGTCTTCAAGAGCATGTATACAACACTAGGGGTTAGGGAGATTTACCTGTCTTCAAGAGCATGTATAAACACTAGGGGTTAGGGAGATTTACCTGTCTTCAAGAGCATGTATACAACACTAGGGGTTAGGGAGATTTACCTGTCTTCAAGAGCATGTATACTACACAGGGGCCCAGGGAGGTTTACCTGTCTTCAAGAGCATGTATACAACACAAGGGGTTAGGGAGGTTTACCTGTCTTCAAGAGCTAGTATACAACACTAGGGGTTAGGGAGATTTACCTGTCTTCAAGAGCATGTATACAACACTAGGGGTTAGGGAGATTTACCTGTCTTCAAGAGCATGTATACTACACAGGGGCCCAGGGAGGTTTACCTGTCTTCAAGAGCATGTATACAACACAAGGGGTTAGGGAGATATACCTGTCTTCAAGAGCATGTATACAACACTAGGGGTTAAGGAGATTTACCTGTCCTCAAGAGCATGTATACAACACAGGGGGTTAGGGAGATTTACCTGTCTTCAAGAGCATGTATACAACACTAGGGGTTAGGGAGGTTTACCTGTCTTCAAGAGCATGTATACAACACAAGGGGTTAGGGAGATTTACCTGTCTTCAAGAGCATGTATACAACACTAGGGGTTAGGGAGATTTACCTGTCTTCAAGAGCATGTATACAACACTAGGGGTTAGGGAGATTTACCTGTCTTCAAGAGCATGTATAAACACTAGGGGTTAGGGAGATTTACCTGTCTTCAAGAGCATGTATACAACACTAGGGGTTAGGGAGATTTACCTGTCTTCAAGAGCATGTATACTACACAGGGGCCCAGGGAGGTTTACCTGTCTTCAAGAGCATGTATACAACACAAGGGGTTAGGGAGGTTTACCTGTCTTCAAGAGCTAGTATACAACACTAGGGGTTAGGGAGATTTACCTGTCTTCAAGAGCATGTATACAACACTAGGGGTTAGGGAGATTTACCTGTCTTCAAGAGCATGTATACTACACAGGGGCCCAGGGAGGTTTACCTGTCTTCAAGAGCATGTATACAACACAAGGGGTTAGGGAGATATACCTGTCTTCAAGAGCATGTATACAACACTAGGGGTTAAGGAGATTTACCTGTCCTCAAGAGCATGTATACAACACAGGGGGTTAGGGAGATTTATCTGTCTTCAAGAGCATGTATACAACACTAGGGGTTAGGGAGGTTTACCTGTCTTCAAGAGCATGTATACAACACTAGGGGTTAGGGAGATTTACCTGTCTTCAAGAGCATGTATACAACATTAGGGGTTAGGGAGATTTACCTGTCTTCAAGAGCATGTATACAACACAAGGGGTTAGGGAGGTTTACCTGTCTTCAAGAGCATGTATACAACACTGTGGGTTAGGGAGATTTACCTGTCTTCAAGAGCATGTATACAACACTAGGGGTTAGGGAGATTTACCTGTCTTCAAGAGCATGTATAAACACTAGGGGTTAGGGAGATTTACCTGTCTTCAAGAGCATGTATACAACACTAGGGGTTAGGGAGATTTACCTGTCTTCAAGAGCATGTATACTACACAGGGGCCCAGGGAGGTTTACCTGTCTTCAAGAGCATGTATACAACACAAGGGGTTAGGGAGGTTTACCTGTCTTCAAGAGCTAGTATACAACACTAGGGGTTAGGGAGATTTACCTGTCTTCAAGAGCATGTATACAACACTAGGGGTTAGGGAGATTTACCTGTCTTCAAGAGCATGTATACTACACAGGGGCCCAGGGAGGTTTACCTGTCTTCAAGAGCATGTATACTACACAGGGGCCCAGGGAGGTTTACCTGTCTTCAAGAGCATGTATACAACACAAGGGGTTAGGGAGATATACCTGTCTTCAAGAGCATGTATACAACACTAGGGGTTAAGGAGATTTACCTGTCCTCAAGAGCATGTATACAACACTAGGGGTTAGGGAGGTTTACCTGTCTTCAAGAGCATGTATACAACACTAGGGGTTAGGGAGATTTACCTGTCTTCAAGAGCATGTATACAACATTAGGGGTTAGGGAGATTTACCTGTCTTCAAGAGCATGTATACAACACAAGGGGTTAGGGAGGTTTACCTGTCTTCAAGAGCATGTATACAACACTAGGGGTTAGGGAGATTTACCTGTCTTCAAGAGCATGTATACAACACTAGGGGTTAGGGAGATTTACCTGTCTTCAAGAGCATGTATAAACACTAGGGGTTAGGGAGATTTACCTGTCTTCAAGAGCATGTATACAACACTAGGGGTTAGGGAGATTTACCTGTCTTCAAGAGCATGTATACTACACAGGGGCCCAGGGAGGTTTACCTGTCTTCAAGAGCATGTATACAACACAAGGGGTTAGGGAGGTTTACCTGTCTTCAAGAGCTAGTATACAACACTAGGGGTTAGGGAGATTTACCTGTCTTCAAGAGCATGTATACAACACTAGGGGTTAGGGAGATTTACCTGTCTTCAAGAGCATGTATACTACACAGGGGCCCAGGGAGGTTTACCTGTCTTCAAGAGCATGTATACAACACTAGGGGTTAGGGAGATTTACCTGTCTTCAAGAGCATGTATACAACACTAGGGGTTAGGGAGATTTACCTGTCTTCAAGAGCATGTATACTACACAGGGGCCCAGGGAGGTTTACCTGTCTTCAAGAGCATGTATGCCAACACAAGGGGTTAGGAAGGTTTACCTGTCTTCAAGAGCATGTATACAACACAATGGGTTAGGGAGATTTACCTGTCTTCAAGTGCATGTATACTACACAGGGGCCCAGGGAGGTTTACCTGTCTTCAAGAGCATGTATACAACACAAGGGGTTAGGGAGGTTTACCTGTCTTCAAGAGCATGTATACAACACAAGGGGTTAGGGAGATTTACCTGTCTTCAAGAGCATGTATACTACACAGGGGCCCAGGGAGGTTTACCTGTCTTCAAGAGCATGTATACAATTCTGGGGGCCTGGGAGGTTTTCTCCGAGGCCACCACACATCAAGATTATTATCATTTGTCACTAAAATGTTGGTGGACAACCAAAATTACGTTGAGAAGACTTTGGTGACAAGGAAAACGAGTTTTGTTACATCTAAATTAAGTGTGCTCAATTTGTATTCTATTGATGTTGGCGTGAAAGTCATTGTACTGTCAATATTATTTTACAGTCAGTTCAAATACTAAATGAACTACTTGCACTAAATTTCAGTACGTAATGAAGTTGATGCTTTGTCTGCCTATTGCCCATGTTGTTGAGACAAGGATTTGCAATATTTAGTAAAGATTGGACTCCAATTATTATGCCAAATTTCATCTCAAATAATAGGTTTAGGTTTCTGGACACAAGAATGATACATCCATGTAAGGAATATGGCACCATATCAGCCACGAAGAACTACATCAATAGCCTGACATTGTAGACATCCGGTTTTCGATCATCCTTTCTTGACCGCTATTGGTGTTACAAATCTTCTCATGTCTCTTCGTGCACCTTCTCACAGTCTCTTTGTGCACCAGATTTTTGTTAGTTTCCACACATTTTTTAACAAATGCTCATACTCACAATGTTTGGAATTTTAGATTGATTGATGTCAAAATGTAGGAAACAGCCCTGACATGAATGAGCTTTAAAAGTTACATGTGGATAAATTTTGCTGCCAACTGAACCGCAGAGCAAAAGTATTAAAGGACTGATATTTGTTTTATTATGCAGTGAATAATTTTTTTATGAATATATTGGAAAATCTTCATGTTTTTATTTCATTAAGATATTTTCTGTAGATAGTCTGGTTTACGATCACCCAAGACCCCTTGAGTTGAAGGTCTTCTCACATCTTCCGTGCAGATGTTTTGGTTGTCCACCACATTTTTTGAAGAAATGGTCACACCATTGATATATCCTTTTACATAATTTGATGTCAGGATGACCCCGAAACAGGGCCCTGGCTCCAAGGGTATACATGTAATATAAGGAAGATATTTATGTTCAGGTGTGGGCCTGGTGGGGATTGAATACTTGGTGTTTATCGGCTTTTTGTACCTCGTTAACCTTAATAATAGGTGAAAATAGACAATATTTACTAATTACAACTATTTGGGTCCAGGGTTTTATGAATATACCATATCAAGTATATTGGAATCCACATCATATCTATATCTACCTGTAACAGTAATGGTGTACTGTTTGTATTTGGGTGAATGGCAGAGGGTACTTGTGTGTTCACATGCTACATTAACTCGTATATGGACAGCAGTGTTAGAAAACACCGTAAACAAAACCATTCTGACAAACTTGTTTCTGGTAACTACAAGTGTGGCCATTTATTCTTAAAGGAACTAATAAGTTATCGACAAGATTGCTAACTATATAAGAAAAGTTGTAATTAATTGATAGGGTTGATATTTTCTGTTTGTGAGTGAGTTGGGTGTAGTGCTGCTTGAACTGTATGAAGTATTTCAAGGCATGTCAGTTTGATGTTGACATCAACAATTACCTCCACGGCAAAACCAATGATTGTCATTGTGACAATTCTGGGATTGAAGCCATGACCAGCAGGTTCTAGCAGCAGACACAACTCCACACAGTGTTGCATTTTTCTGAACCACCAGCCCATCTGTGAGCTGGCTGCTGTGAGATGCAACCCTTTCAATGATGTGATGGCACATGCATGGCTTGTTCAGCCGTCGGGCAAGTTGGTCACATGGCCCCTCCTCCTGGACCTGCACACTCCAATGTTGCGCCATCGTGCCTGCAGCAGCAGGAGGTAGACCAGAATCATTGTTTAACATTTAACATGTTTATCAAAGTGCCTATATCATGTTGGAGTAGAAAGTGTTTCAACCTTTTCAGAAAGTGTTAGTGTTTCCTAGCTTACGAGCATCAGAGCTCATTACATTGTACATACAATATGCACCAGTATTATAGCATAGGAACTGGGTTTTTTATTTGTTTCAGAAATATAGTAGATCATTGTTAATCTCAAGACTATGATTGAATGTAAGAAGTATTTGAATATCTTGTAAAACTACATTTTTTTCAACTTTCTGACGTGCAATATGAAGTGTGTTGCTATGGTTACTGTGATCTTGTATATATAAATATATATATATCTATGACATTTACATCAAATGATTACCAGGAAGTTAACCATATATTTTTATACCAGAGAAGCTATTTTTCCTGGCTCATGACTTTAAATGGTTACACATTTAACTGTTGTTCCTGTTGAATCTTCCATAAGAATACTTTGAAACTCTTGTGTTTGCTCAAATCTCTGTTGTATCTGTGTCCTTCTTGAAACAATGATGTCCAAATAATCTCTATTTTGGTATCTGTTTAAATGTGTTCTATGAATTGAGTGTTTGCATATGAGAAAATAACACCCCCATATGCATCCATACCATTTAATGCATATGTAGTTCAAGTTAGGTATTAAAACTAGTCTGTTGAATAAGAATAACTTTGCACTTTGTTTTATTTTTAGATAGGGTTGGAGCTGTTTCAACAAGGCTCTCCTTGGTAATTATAATGCTCCCCAGCTTGACCTCTGAGACTGAATGTTTGACTTCATCATTCTAGTATGCATTTAATGAAGTGCTAATGAGCCCTCAAGACTCTGTGTCTCAATACTCAGTGGATGTATACCAGGCTGAACTGGGTGTAAACTTCAACCCTCATCTGTGAGGGGGGTGTCTCATGGTGTAGTCAGCTCTGTTGTCTGCAGGTGTCTACTGTGGGAAGGGCACAGTTGGCTGCTGGGGATGGTCACATAACATTGACAGCATGCTTGGACATATGTACAGCTGTTATCAGCTGTCAGCCTCACCAAATTGATTTGTTTTATGTTTTTTCTTTGACAGAATGCCAAGAAGCTGGTGGCTAAAAAATAAAAATAAATGGTTTCAAAAAGATGTTAAAACGCATATTTTTTATCTGACACAACATTTCAGACAAAATTGTTTCTTTATAACTTTTATGACCATTATTGCCATTCTTTTTCCATAAAACAAACCAAAAATCACTTTGTTTGGCTTTTGCACACATGTTGTGTATTGACCATAAAAATCTGATATTACAATGGAGGTGAATACACCATGTCCATGGGTTTCCAGGACGTATGTTGCATGCTGTATCATCATCTGCAGTGACTTTCAAGGTATGGCGTTGTTTGCCATTCATTCCAGCTTGGCGACACCAGCCATTACTTTCTCCCTGACATGAAGTAAAAGAAGCATATCAGTGGTGCTGTAGTTACATTCTAGGAATGCTTCAGTAGGTTGAGTGACCTCATCACCAGATGACTTACTGCATCTGCTTGATTTATCTACTTGATGAGTGAAGTGCAGTATTTCTCCTATTGATCATCAAACACTGTTGTTTTACCTGTTTTTAACACAAGTGTGCAACAACCAATGAAAATATCAAGGGCATTAGGAACTGATATCTTCTTGTCAGTGTCAAAATGTCATTTACGTAGGTTCATATTTGTAGTATTGAAACGTTTAGTTTCACCAATTCGTGCAGTATTTGAATTGTTCATGAAGGCTATACTGGTGGAGACATTTGTCTCAGAATTGATATCAAAGATAAGAAAAGGAAAAATTAATGATACTGTACATGTTTCTAAATAAGTGATCATGTTCCTGCATAATGAAGTTCCTTCCTGAGATGAATGAAATTCTGGTGGTGTGGGCCACAAGAGTGAGTGAGGGGGTTGGGTTTACACCGCTTTGAACAGTGTTCATTTACATCATGTCGGCTTAATGTGTGAGGAAAGCCTGAAGTGATGCAGGTCTCAGATGTTTACCACTTTGGTGAAACACACGGGTATGATGCTGACAAACCTAGAAACATAATCGGGGTGAACCGCAATTCAAACCCTCGATCATAAGTTTCTGGTGTGTCCAAGGGATGCAACTCTACATAGGGAATTGGCTTTCCCTCAGCTGTTATGCCACAAGAAAAGGATAGTAACAGTAAATTCAGGGTTAAACAGAAAGCATATTAAGGGATTTGGTAATAAATGTTTGTCTATTTGTAATACAGTAAAATGACATTATCAAGTCACATCTATTTCAAATGAAAGTGTTATGTACTCACTGTACTCACAGTTTTCATGTACACCTTTTTGCTTCATGTGTTCATTTCATGCTACTACACCTACTCTGTGTGTATGAGTTACATAGGATATATGTATATATTCATATGTATGCTGGGTAGTTTTCTCTTGGTGATTCCTAAAATCCTTTTGATGCTCAAACTTACAATAAATTATTTATAAACATGTTGTCTTGTGTTATTTCCTTACTCCAGGTTTCTTTGCTAGAGTATGTGTTTGAAATGATCACTTGGAAAAGTGAGTCAACTCCTGGCTTGCACAATCAGCATCTCAAGTAGAACAATGATAACAATAATATTGAATAGTTCCAGGACTGTGACAAATGTGTGTGATGCTTGTGAAAGCTGGGTAATGATTGACATGGAGGATTCATAGATTACGAGGGGCGTTCAATAAGTTTTGCAACTTGGGCATTTGTGTTTACACAAACAATGTCAACTTGTGGCAGGTGTGACACTAGTCATAACATCAGGTTGACACGTGTCGTAACAAGTTCCAGACACAACAATAAGTTAGATGTGATGGCTTCATTCGCCTAAGGGTGGTCACAATCATGGATTCTCTCAAACATTATCAACGTGCTGTAATAAAGTTCCTTACCAACGCTCCGGTTCACAAGTCGAGAATTGTACAGGCCGCCATATGTGAATGGGGATTTGAACAGTTAAATCAGCCACCCTGCAGCCCAGACTTAGCCCCCAGTGACTATTTCCTGTTCCGGCAAATGAAATCTGCCCTACGTGGAAGACGCTTCCAGGATGACGAGGACAAAAAGGCTGCCACAGAGGCGTGGTTAGAGGGCCAATCTGCAGATTTCTATAAACGTGGTATTAAAAGCTTGAAGGACAAATGAAATACGTGTATTGAGGTGAATGGAAATTATATTGAAAAATAAAACTGCAAAAGATATCCTGCAACTTGGTCTTATATTTAAGTTGCAAAACTTATTGAACGCCCCTCGTATCTTCAGATCATTATGTCTCCCCAAGACATATTGTTTTTGGCACGGTTCCCGTCGGCGTCGGCGTTCCCACCGTTCCGGACCATAACTCAGAAACCGTTTAATATTTTTTCGCGAAACTTTGTATACACATTAACCCAGCACTGAAGTGGTGCCTTTTGCTATTTAGAGATTTTTGACATTTTTATTTTTTCTCGTTTCCATGGAGATAACTTGAACATAGGCTCTGAATGGGGGTAAGCTTTGTTTCCTGACCATAACTCAGAAACCGTTTAATATTTTTTCGCGAAACTTTGTATACACATTAACCCAGCACAGAAGTGGTGCCTTTTGCTATTTAGAGATTTTTGACATTTTTATTTTTTCTCGTTTCCATGGAGATAACTTGAACATAGACTCTGAATGGGGGTAAGCTTGGTTTCCGGACCATAACTCGGAAACCGTTTAATATTTTTTCGCGAAACTTTGTATACACTTTAACCCAGCACAGAAGTGGTGCCTTTTGCTATTTAGAGATTTTTGACATTTTTATTTTTTCTCGTTTCCATGGAGATAAGTTGAACATAGGCTCTGAATGGGGGTAAGCTTTGTTTCCTGACCATAACTCAGAAACCGTTTAATATTTTTTCGCGAAACTTTGTATACACATTAACCCAGCACTGAAGTGGTGCCCATTAGTTGTTTGAAATTTCTAGGAGTTCTATTTTTGTCTCTGTTATTTAGTAATGGAGGGTGGGAATGAAGAGATGGGGTTTAACGTGAAGTAAACGAATGAATGGGTGTTAGGGGAGTGGGGGGAGACATATGTTTTTACGAGTAAAAACACTTTCTAGTTTACATTATGTTGAAGGGTGAGCTCATGGTTATGAAACAAGTCCATAAAAATGTTGAAGTAAATCATATGATAGGGCCCATGGGCCTATATTCGTTGTTGTTGTTTGTTGTTTGACGCCGCACTCAGCCAGCTATACGGCAATCTGTAAATAATCAAGTCTGGACCAGACAATCCACGCATTTGGAATACAATGACATGCATCAACCAAGTCCAAGCCTGACCACTCCCATTAGTCCCGCGCCGTCTTTGGGGCCTATATTCTAGTCAGTGTAATACCTTACACTAAACTAACCATGTCAGACATACTCCTTTGTCCTGTACATTATATTGCCATTCTATTTTGGTAAATACTAGTACCCTGGACCAACTGCTCATTAATGCTTCGTTTTAAGCCAGATTCCATCCTAAAATAGCCATCCAGTCAAATTGCTAACATGAGTGAGTGGAAAGAAGAATATATAGACATGCAGCCCAGTGCATGCGCAAATCTCATGGTTCACCTTCAATTCCACAACTACACTTATTGATCGCAAACCGTGTTCCACCGAACACCGAGCGTAACTGGCTGGCTTAAGATATTTCATGGCCAATGGGAGGACGTCTACTTTTACTTTGGGTTCGTTTTGTACTATAATTACATGGACATGATGATTCATAGCAGAGAGACGCGGTGGGTTGTCCTGGCCCAGCACAACGCGGCGCTCGGATAGATGCTTTATAGGCCTATTGCCTGTCAGTTTTATTCTGATCAGAGTCCTTGGGGAAAACGGCCACTATAGGGGCCAAGACGGGGTACTGTCTGCTCGACACTGCCTCGAGATGCGGGATTGCCGAGGTCGCCCAAGGATATAAAGAGCCACTTGGATTGATCAGGTACGTGCTTATTGTGATTTTGACAGCAGGATTTTGTGTCTGGATAACATTGAAAAGGCGAATCACTTATACAACGTGCACTATTATATTGTTTGTTAGGTTAATGGTGAGTGAGTTTGGTTTTACGCCGCTTTTAGCAATATTCCAGCAATATCACGGCGGGGGACACCAGAAATGGGCTTCACACATTGTACCCATGTCGGGAATCGAACCCGGGTCTTCAGCGTGACGAGCGAACGCTTTAACCACTAGGCTACCCGACCGCCCCTTGTTAGGTTAAACATCACGCATACTTTTGTAATAATAGCAAAAATCACTTCCCGCAAGTACAGAAACAGAATGACGCGGATGTCAGTGACCACCAAATTCAGTACCAGTTTCAAACAACGGGCTATTGTGGCCCTTGATGTAGGCAGAGGTGGCTGCTGATGAGGAGCTGCTTATGTAGACATCTCATTCCTGAGGTTGCTAGAACAAAAAGCCTGATACAACTCAATGCACAAAGATTGTCACAAACATCAAACGTTTTTTAACACTCTGAAAAAGACTTCCAGACTTACTCTGTTTGACAGTTCCAAGTGCAAACACAAAACAATTGTCAGTTTGCTTCATGTAATTCATTTTGAGTGTCTGGAGAGACTGCATCCTATGGGATTTTCATCCCATTTTCAGTGCTAAATGATACGGCCTAGACAAGAGTTATCTCCCATAGATTGCACAGATATAGACATACAAGAAACATCCCATATCCCCTGATAGCGAGATCTAGATGGTCTAACCTGATAAACACCTTTTAGAAATCTGCATATCATGGGATCAGATTAAAAAAAACCTTCCAACTCGCCGTGATATAACTGGAATACTGTTCACAACGGCGTTAAACCCAACTCACTCACTAGCTCCAACTGTGATCACATGCAGAGCTGACTCCTCATCCCCAAGAGGGATATGTACCACGGCTGTGTGGGCCAGTTGGAGCCCACCCTCCCCCTCCTTCTCCAACCTCTGAATACACAAGCTGATCAGACTGAAGGGCGGGAACATACACATATACGTGTCATACCAAGATTGGCTAAATGCATCTGGTGATGGGTCTAGAACCTAAGAGACATATCTGTATATTTTTGTTGAGTCTTGGCGCAAACAGGTCAGCATATTGTATAGCTCATAAGACTACATCTTCCCAAACACCTCTCAGTTAAGCATCCATTCAGTTCTACGATCGGACTTTCTCGATTCCTCATCTGCTACTGGCTTTGTTTGGCCCTGGGACATGGTAAGCACTGACCCAAATGAACCTGTTTTCTATGCATCAGTCCCACTCTTGTGTAGCCAGTGGTTACTCCCTCTAGATTTGCTGCCACCCATAGCATTGATTTAATCTTATGTTGCTTTGGCATTTGCTTTTGTTACCACTTAGAGATTTGAGAACACACAAAGCTGCTAGTATCTCCAGCTCATTCATGTGTCTTACCGATCTGTAAATAATCGAGTCTGGACTAGACAATCCAGTGATTGACGTCATGCGCATCGATCTACGCAACTGGGATACGATGACATGCATCAAACAAGTCACCGCGAGAAAACACATCTTGTTCTGCTTCAACAATTACTCTCCTGTCAATGAATTTCATAATTTCACTACCAATGTGTATTTCCTCCACTTTATTAACTCTAATGTTTCTGGCATCTGGTATTTTAAAACTATTTTCACTGTCACCTAAATCAACATGACACCCAACAACCTTGTCAAGAATTGAGACATAAGAATTGAGCTTCTCCACTGGCTTCGACGGTGCTTGTTCTGTCGAGCTGCGTGGTCACTGCCACCCCCTCTTCTGGAGCGACCCCCTTGGATCTGTATCCACGACGGTACAAACGTCCCCTCATGGAAGGTCGTCGTCTGGGATATCCACGGAAACCCTGACTTACTCGAGGCATTGTTGACCGCTTTGTTCGATATTTTAATGTCCTCGAACTTTCGTACTGCTTTCACATCGAAAGGTACCCATTTAATGATGCAGATGGCGAAAGAAGGGGTGCAAATTTGGTATGTATTTCTGGCCTAACATGATCCTGTCTTCTTGTTTTCAGTGCATTGCTGACTACGTTTTTACGTATGGGACAGTTTGACGAGTTTGCTGGAAACTGTCACGTACATTAACAATACATTCAATGTTACACAGTCTGTGATTAGCACAGCAAACCAAACAATCTGACGACTGATCCCGTTCAGGGCGTCCCAGGTCAACGACAAGAGTACAGGATTAATTGATCCGAAATCTGGTTCTAAGAAATGTAGTTCGAACGACGAATCAAATTGCTGATCAAACTTTCATCAGGCTACTGGAGTACGAGTTACGGGTCATACTAGAAACTGTCCACATGCAGGTCATCTCCATGCTCGACGGCCATGTGTTGTGCCGCCCCATACGAATCGTCTTATTGGCAACAGACGTCAAGGGTGTACTCAACGTCGAAACTTGCGTAATCGTTGCTGGTCACGTATCATGTGTTGAGATGAGTCCCGATTCACTTTGTTCTTCCTTGATTGGCTTGCTCGTGTCTGGCGACCTCATGACCTCATGACAGTATTGGCGGTGGATCGGTTATAGGGTGGGCTGGCGTCACTGATTGAGAGAACCCCACTCCATATTGTGCAAGGATGGGTCAGTGGACTGTACTATCGGGACAACATACTGACACCCTTTGTTGCACCGTTTGCGCGACGTGTGGGTCGACGTTTTGTGTTGACAGATTTGGCCATGGATCGGTTATGGTGTGGGGTGACATCACTGTGATTGAGCGACCCCCATTCCATATTGTGAAAGGAAGGGTCACTGGACAGTACTATCGGGACAACATACTGACACCCTTTGTTGCACCGTTTGCAAGGTGTGTGGGTCGACGTTTTGTGATTCAGGACCACAACGCCCGTGCTCACCGTGCACGAATCGTGAGTGCTCAACTCTAGCTTCACAACATCCATACAGTGCCATGACCAGCACTGAGCACACACCTTCCCTCATTGAACACGTCTGGGACATGATTGGGAGACTTTTGTGTCAACGTCTTAGGCCTGAACTTGGCGAGGGGCTTCTAGGCTTAACTTGGCTAGGGGCTGCTAGGCTGAGCTTGGCTAGGGGCTGCTAGGCTGAACTTGGCTAGGGGCTGCTAGGCTGAAGTTGGCGAGGGGCTGCTAGGCTGAAGTTGGCTAGGGGCTGCTAGGCTGAGCTTGGCTAGGGGCTGCTAGGCTGAGCTTGGCTAGGGGCTGCTAGGCTGAACTTGGCTAGGGGCTGCTAGGCTGAACTTGGCTAGGGGCTGCTAGGCTAAAGTTGGCTAGGGGCTGCTAGGCTGAGCTTGGCTAGGGGCTGCTAGGCTGAGCTTGGCTAGGGGCTGCTAGGCTGAGCTTGGCTAGGGGCTGCTAGGCTGAGCTTGGCTAGGGGCTGCTAGGCTAAAGTTGGCTAGGGGCTGCTAGGCTGAGCTTGGCTAGGGGCTGCTAGGCTGAACTTGGCTAGGGGCTGCTAGGCTGAACTTGGCTAGGGGCTGCTAGGCTGAGCTTGGCTAGGGGCTGCTAGGCTGAAGTTGGCGAGGGGCTGCTAGGCTGAAGTTGGCGAGGGGCTGCTAGGCTGAACTTGGCTAGGGGCTGCTAGGCTGAACTTGGCTAGGGGCTGCTTGGGGAGTTTGACTCCCTCAGCTCGCCATTGGTAGACTCACTGCAGTATGCATCGTCGAGTGAATGATAAGTGAGTGAGTTATTTGACATAAATTGTGGCGATATTACGTATTACTGACCCAATAAAGTCAACTTAGTAATTCCCCATCTTACCCCTATCGATCTTCAATACGGACGGTCATAACATATCGTGTCATACTTCAAAACCGGTTGTAATGATTTCCCAACATTGTCTATTATCATCATACAATTATTGATAGAAACTAATATATCTTACAATTTTGGAAATTTAAAGTTATTTCCGAGATTATAATCACGGATTTTAATATACTATGTTTCAGATAACAATGGAGGGTTGTGAACTATCCAAGGTGGACCTGCATTGTCCTAGATGCACTGAGATTCATGTGGAGCTCAAGGTGGAGCTTTCCTGCGCACTTGGACTCTATGGAGCCTGCCTCAACACCTCTAAGATATATGCTGATTCAATCGCTGAGACATTCCCCTGTGCTCTCTGCCAAACCCCTTTTACAGGATATCGAACACATCCAACCGATCCTGGTCTTCAGAGTGAAATACTTGACAGAATAAGACTTCCGATCAGGATGTACAAGTTCCATTCGTTTTCTCAGACCCGATACTGTGGCGACTGCTGCTGCCAGCTTGTGTGCCCCAAGTGCTTTACTGAGAAGCATCACACTCGTGAAGAACACGTGAAGACTTCTGGAAAGCTATCAGAAGGAACAGCAGATATGGACACACAGATGAAGAAACATATCATTGCAATAGACGTTCTCCTCCCGATCTCTGAATGGCGAGAGCAAAGTGCATCTTTGAAAGCGACTTCAGCAGGTAATACAGAAATCCATGATCAACTGGAGAAGAAGATTCTGAAGGAAACTGTCATAGATATGCAAGATAAACTAACGGAAAGACTGGATTTGAATAACCAGAAAAGCACTGGGTGTGTCAGAGGAAAGAGCAATCTATACGTCGAGACTCGGAAACTAAAGGGTTCCTCGGGGAAAGGTTTGGACAAGAAGTCAAATGAAGCTTTGTTTGAGGCTTCGATTGCAATAGAGGACAAACACGACTTCCGACTTACAATACCACAACTCTTGGGTGCAGATCTGGTCCTGGGTGTTGCCTTGTTGAAGCCATCAGCGTCCTGTGCACCTGACGAGATACATTTCAACTCGGACGTTTTCCACACGTTTCAACCCCAGTGTCGTGGAAATGTCATTCAGGGATATGGGTTGCACCTGATAAAACTCACTGTTACTTTATGTTATGCATTTATAGTGCTTTACCTGTTGTTGGCCTCATATGAAAGACACCACGGTTGTTACGATGTCAGGCATGAGTTCAGTCATGGTTTTGTTCGAGGCTTCAAGAAATGCAGCTGGGTAATGATCGAGTCTGTATCAAAAGAACTAATATATCAACTAGCGCATCAATTTGGAATAATCTTACCTATTTAGCAGGGAAAGAACTGGGGTAATCAGAATGTAATTGGTATTATGATAACTATTTGGTGGGAATATTTAGTTTTGTAGATCTCGAAGTCCCGATAAGTTTTAATCTCATAAAAATCAGACTTTAGTGCTCGCAACAGTTACACAAAGATCTGAGGACATCCCAGTACAGGTCAGAATGACCTTTCGCGAACTTTGACCGACCAATGAAATATTCAGGAAGAAGAGAAAGTCTTCATTAGCCAATCAGAAAGCAACTTTCTCGAGCTTTTCGATATTAGTTTCAAACTGGAGACTTCCATCTTCCATTCCAGATTATGCTTTGAAACATATTTTTATAAAAAAAATCTTGTTTCACAGTTTGAAAACTGAACAAACGAAAATTCATGAATGTCTGATAGATGGCCTAGCTTGAATGGGAGTACTTCCCACGGGCAATGAAAAGTCCCTTCATTCGGACTTTCACTTTTGGTCTGTTTGGTCAGATGAAGGGTCGTCCTGACGTGACCTGTAATGGGATGTCCAAAGATCTATGTGTAGCGGTAGCTAGCACTATAAACATCAAATTTGAATGAGATTGGGTTATATTTTAAATACATGTGTATTAAACACGTGATTCTGTTCTTATGTCCAGTATAGATCAACATGTTTGTTTGTTTGTTTGTTTCTTATCTCCAACCAGTCATACGGTGAGCTTAATTATGTCGTGGTCCGTCGTTAACTTTCGGATATCTTCTCTGAAACTACAATGTCTATACAGCTGAAACTTTGTATGAACGATCCCAGCTATGGTGTCCCCAACAAAAGTGCAAACAGAATTCCGATACAATTTTAAACATGCTGAAAATGTCATCTTGGCCATAATTCAGTCATATCTGCATGAATAATTATTAATGAATCAGTGTAAAACGGTTTGGGGGCCAATTTGATGCTTGATCTCGTTACGACTTTTTACTTTCACGAGCCGAAATATTTAAAATTAATGACTAATAATCGGCCATCATTCCCCAAATGTAATTGTTAACATTTGGCATTGGTGTAGTTAGTTGTGGAGACTGACATGTGTGTTTCTGTTTTCGCAATATTATGAATTTTGATCTCGATTCAACCTTCACAGTGTAATAGTTGGTGTCACCAAAGTGGCTACACACATCAAAGCAGGTGCAAAAATTGAAACCATTTTCTGCATACATTTGGGAACAATGGCAAAGAGCATGTTTTCGCCAATGGTTGTCAAGGAAACCAAACTTGACTTTGAGCAACATTGAGATACGCTTTCTGTAGGGTGGCCCACGGAAAGTTTCGACACAATCTCATTAAAATCAGATCTTAGTTCTCGCTACGCGGTAGCGAGAACTAAGATCTGATTTTAATGAGATTGGTTTCGACATCCTGCACCTTTTGAAAAATTAAAACAAATAGCGAAAACAAGTTCCAGTGGATTTGGGGAAGCGTTTTTGCCAAGCTGACCCGTGAAGATCCGGAATAGAATAGGTCTTCAGCAACCCATGCTTGCTGTAAAAGGTGACTAAGCTTGTCGTAAGAGGAGACTTACGGGATCGGGTGGTCAGGCTCGCTGACTTGATTGATGCATGTCATCGGTCCGAATGGTGTGAATCGATGCTCATGCTGTCAATCACTAGATTGTCTGGTCCAGACTCGATTATTTACAGACCGTCTTCATATAGCTGTAATATTACTGAGTGCGGCGTTTAACAACAAACTCTTGAGAGGGGATGTGATAAGTGATAAGTGAGATTCTGCGTGTGACGTCACTGTTCACAAACATGTAAGTGGTAAAACTAAAGACCTCCGCGTCGCTTTGGACTTTCTTCCCACACAAGCTCAGCGAGTGAATTGTAAGAGTGATGGTCACAAGTTTCAAAATATAATAACTTATGCTTGTGGTTGGGACGAGACAAGCCCGACTCTTTTCACAGTGTCATCTGATGCCACCACGCAGTAAGGAGCTTGCAACCTCATTGCAGTTATCTCCCTTTGGCGTATTCGATTTCAACCAGATGTCATTTTGGAGACCGTGATTCTGACTTTGATTCTGATTCTGACCAACTCCACCCTAGTCGAGAGCCACGATGGGGTCTACTCCTACAGTCCGACATTGCCTAAAAGTCGGACCGGGCCGGGCCAAGACGGGCCAAAGTGTTATTGGCTAATCACTTCATTATTGGCGATCATACCTACATATAATTGATGCAACATACACACATGACATTAATGAACAATCACCAAACAAAAAAGTGCACCATAATTAAGTGATTCGGAGTAATTCGCTTGAAAACCAGAAAGTGGAGCTGTGTGTAAGCGTCTAGGTAACATGTAAAAGAGCAATCGTTAAACGAAATAAGATTTGACACGTATCAAATACTTCTAGCTATCGTGATACAAATTTCCATCTGTCGGCATAGCGTTTATATTTATAGGATCGTACTATATCTAAGTAAATACCACTTTATAATGTCACTGTTCATCGTATTTAAAGTAGACACGTTGGCTAAGTAGACCTCTTCTCCCTATACTTTCAACAGTCACACAAGTGTTCGGTCCGACTTGGCCCAGGCTGTCAAAATCATCTTTAAACTCACATACGTATCATCAAATGGATTCACACCTATAAACTATTATACTATCTACCAAAATACCACTTTATAGTGTCTCAGATCGCAGTATTTAAAGAAAACAAGGGGATCAAAGTGAAGCCCTTTTCCCTCTACATTCTCAACATAGTCTCTATCAAAAGTGTTTGGCATGTGTTGGGTCCGACTTGGCCCGTGCTGTCAAAATCAACTTTAAACACACAGATGTATCTTCCTATGTGTTTACATATATAGATTAGTGCTATATCTACCTATAAACCACTTTATAATGTCACAGTATATCGCATTTAAAGAAATCTGGGCCGTTTAAGGGAAGTAATTTTACTTTTCTTAAGAAAATCTCACTCAGAAGGGTTCGGTCCGACTTTGCCCGGGCGGTCAAAATCAACTTTAAACACACAGATGTATCTTCAAATGTGTTTACATCTTTAGATTAGTATTAAATCTACCTATATACCACTTTATAATGTCATGTGTTGGGTCCAACTTGGCCGGGCGGTCAAAATCAACTTTAAACACACAGATGTATCTTCAAATGTGTTTACATCTATAGACTAGTGTTATACCTACCTATATACCACTTTATAATGTCACGGTCAGTCCTACAGTCAAGACCCTACAATGTAGGCTACATCACGTGAAGTGCTGGATCCGCCTTGCTCGCGTAACCTTAATTGATTCGTGGATAGAGGGGAGGTGTAACGGAATTCTATGTTAAAATATACGATTTCATTGTGTATACTCATTGATCTCTTCAACTATAAGGAAATCGTGACTGAAAGGTTTGTTTTAATACCGAAGCCATTTCCATTTATCATCCATTCACGTGCACACAAATGTCGCTATATACGACAGCTCAGTACGTACAATTTGTGCGTAATATACTTTATTAAGAATTCTAGCCTATATTTATCAACTGACATTTCTGTGTCGGTAGATAACAGTTGATAAGGGCAAGAAAATGTGTCATGAGTCGGAAGCACACACACTGAAAGTGTACCCAGTGGTGTACATGCACTGCCCCCACTGAACGAAGAACAGTGACGTTCATTGGACCTCACTTGGCTGACAGTGATTACACACGTCATCGGATATTGTCGAATCATCGTCACTGGCACTGTTGTACAATAGGTTAACAGCCCCGGATGGTTCCTCTACTGGCTCGGTGGTACTTTTAGTTTTATTTTGAGAAGGTTTGGCTTATGTATGTGACTGCTGGTTGTTTCGTGGTTGTTACTGACTGTTTAGAAGCTAAACCTTTAACATAGTTTTTAACTATAATCTCTGGTTCAGTTATGGCATTGCCACTAATGACCTTGTGGATAGATCTACGTGGTTTTCTTTGTTGCTTCTGAATGACGGGAAGCTGGTCAACAAAGAATGAAAACAAAGATGTATCAATTATTAGTGTATGTCTCTACGTCCGAGAGATTTCAAGTCATACTGAAAATTATAATGAGTAATTCTTATCGGGTTGACTCATCTGTTTCAGACTTGTAATGGATTCAAGAATTTTTTTATGAAGACCTCATCTGCCCCATTTGCACTAATGTATTTGAGGAGCCCAAGTTGCTTCCCTATGCACACAGACTGTGCCGGAAGTGCCTCCTCGACTACGTCAAGTCTCGGACTTCAAATCACTGCCCATGCCCGCTTTGCAAAACATCGTTCAGAGGAGACCGGTCTTACCCAACTGATGGCATCCTTCAGAAATTGATACAGGACAAAAGGGATGAGTGTAGGTTTCACAGTTTACGTAGAACACGCTATTGCATTACCTGTTGCCTGCTTGCCTGCGCCGAGTGTGTCATAAGACAACACAAGACCTGCAGGAGCCGACCAGGTCATGAGGCAGCAGCTGTTACAAACAAAGGAAGATATAGATGCTCTTATATGTGATTTGGAATCCGCTGAAGAAAATACTGATTTGAAGACGGAAGAAACAGTAAATTTCTTTTCTGACATGGTTTATCAGCTGGATAAAATGCAGGAAGCTTTGGTGGCACCTATAGTGGATATGCGCAACACCTTAAACGAGGCGATGGAATCAAATGTGTAATTGCTAAAGACATCTGTAAATGCAATGACGAGAAGGAAGTCAAGATTGGTGGAGCTTGGCACTTCTTTGGGGGCCATCACGGATATCGGTTCATTAGATGATGAAAGTTTGTTCAGGGCTACGAGTGATTTGGAAGAGAAACGGGGTTTGCTGGGCAGGACACGAAACCACTTGGACCAGAGCCTGGACCTGAAGGTGGCGTCTCTCAAGCTGTCATACAAGGACCCAACTCGAAACGTGGCCGTCAAAACTGAACAGTTCTGCGCCTTGACGCCCAGGCAAGTTGCCCCTCGAAATTCTGTTCGAAATCAACTTTTGAAGAAAGTTTGGAATTTTATATTTCAAATCGATTTCATGATATTGTGCTTTCTCTGTCTAGTAGTGAGAGGGTTGCTGGAACAATTGCAGTGATGTTTCTGAAGAAACAGTCCAATTTCTTTGTTGTAATGACACTATTATGTAAGTAGTACAACAGCACAGGTAATTATTCATATTACGTTTGTTAGGTTTACGCTACAGTCAGCAGTATCGCAAGACTACCTGTAAACTAATGGTCGATGTTATAAGCAACGTCCAACAGCGTCAAGCTCCGACGACACATATTCGTCCGAATCAAGGAGCCTGACCACCCGATTCAGTTTAGTTGCCTCACAACTTGCGGGAGTCTTCGACAGCTGGAGAGTGGGTGAGTTTCGGGAACGCCACTTTGAACGTTGGTACATCGATACAATGCGTGAAGGCATTTACTGGTATCAAGTGCCTTGATAGACTGGAATATTGCTAAAAGCGGCCCAAATCATTCTCACTCGCCCATATATGTGAAGGTGGTATAAGGACGGTGTCCGTCAGCCCCCGTGAAGAACCTCTCAGAAAGGCTAAGGTATCTGGCAAGGTGTCTTATTTCTATGTATGTGGTAAGGTATCCAACACATGCAACACATACAAGATAAGGCTATCCCTATTATTCTGTGTTATTGATCGCCATGCTTAGCTTTAGTAGTGGCGGCAGAAAATGAATAAAAAGAGAATTATAAATGTCTTTCGTTGAGAATGTCTGCTGTTGAAGATATGTGCTATGATATGTTGACAATTTAATGTGCTATTTTCGAACATTTACATTTACAATATAACGATACCTCACCAAAGCCTGAAATTCGACCAGCCCTAAGGATTTATATAACATTAAACAAACTCGACCAGCTTCAAAGACGAAAACTTTTGATGGTATTAAAATACGGAAAGCAGAAGAGCAGATGTATAGATAATATCCTTTTATAGTTATCCTCACCATAATATACAGTGCGGATTTTTTTTATGGAAGGCGTTATTTTTATCAAGGGCCGGATCATTCATTCTAATACTCAAGCTGGCGAATGGGTGGTGTTAAACCTTGGGTGAGTATTAAAACGTTACAATTCAGGACCGTCCACAGAATACCTTCAAATAGTACTTATACATACGGCCTCGTAGTGTGTCTCGAGATAGAGGTAATACAACACCAACCGACCAATGCATCTTCTTAACATCACTACTGTATTTACCTTACCAGATTTCATTAATACTTCAGCTGCATACCAGTTTTTATGAGTTGTATGTGCAGCATAACACTACAGACAGTATTATATTATGCATATGATGAAATAACACACACTTAGATATAGGTATGTTCCCATGATTTAAGAAGAACGCATGTAACATGTGGAGATGATGACGAGGAGATTGTGAGAAGTAACAGACGCAGGAGTCCAGAGAATTTGTTGAGTTATTTGGGATGAATGAGGATGCCCCTCTCTCGAGGTATCCGGCATACGACTTAATTTGTCTTGAGGAGGTTTGAAAACAATTGGATCTCGGCCCGTCAAACACGTGTTTGATAGCATGAGCACCCCCGGTACAATGACGCGATCAGCCACAACCTGACCTCCCGCTACCGGCAAGAATGGGGCACGGGTGACGATCGGTTGGCCGGCGTTGAATGGAACGGACATGCGATTGACTGTATATACCCATGTAGTTTGAATTTTATTTAGTTTGTAGGAAAATAGGCCTCGGGCGTTTTATTCTGGATACGTCTTTGCTTTTGCTTAAATAGTTTCATCTCTTAAGATTCTACACCTTTCACAATACATAACTAAACTAAATTTAAGAGGTAATATGTCGCTTTCCCTGTTTTCCATTACTACAGTGTGTCATCGCGTACGCTCTACTGTGGGTAAGGTAGATTCGCAACAAAGAGAGGAGGTACTTTATCGGGTATGATATCACACTAACGCAGCCAGCCCTCCATCACGATGTTGGCTATAACAAGCCAATTGGTCTTTGGTTCAGTTTGACCTTTAAATGCCTACGTATATTTATTAAGTAAGTAATGTAGGTAATTTTACTCTTGGTATTGAAGATGTAGGCGTTTATTGTTTGGTGTTCGGATGTCGTGTACATATATCCAGTAGGCATACAGAGAGAATGTAAACGATTGACAAAGCTTATCGCGTGTTTCTCAGCTGCTTCCTAGTATTGCATATTGTGATATAATAATAGTTGATACACGCTAACCTCTACCCGGAGTGCAATGTGTATAAGAATCGAAAAGTAGCATGGACACAAAGGTTGGCAAAATTGCTCGACTATCATTTTTCGTCCAATTATCATTTACAGGTATAACTTTTGAAAATAAAGTATGACCATAACGTTTTATTCCCTCACAAGGAGCCTGTGTGAAACCAGCATATGTTGTCTGGAATAGTTAGGTTACGCAACACGCTGTCGTGAAACATTTCCATTACATCCATGTCGTTAAATAATGTATAATCACGCTCAATTGTTCTGTTGCATACTGGTATCTCCATTAACACATTACACAATGCCCATGCAGATAATGTTATGTTTTAGACGGATATTTTTACATTTAACGTATCCCGTAGCTATTCCAGATCAAAGTTATTGCATTGCAAACAGGCAAACATATATGTTGTCGCTCATACATACTCTGAAACAAAAATATCAGAGAATTTCCCAAGCAAGTCTACAATACTTCACTGTAATACCGTGGCTAAATTCTTCAGAATAAACGTCTTTTGATAAAAAGAGGAACAAAATCTATCTGGGCTCCTTTCTATTACATAATTATTAAAATACCTTTTAACCCCGAACAATGTGTAAATATTATTTCAGAGCCTATTGTCAGACTACGCCGTGTATTCACTAATTATGATCTCGGAAACCTGTAACAAGTGAAACCGTTTTATGACTAGATCCCTTTTTAACATATACCTATCTAGGATACATGAGGTAGTTTGCATGTGCGATAGTGCCAACATGGAGACATTTATATCACAGGAGTGTCATAACCAGAACCGTATTATAACCCCTCCCAGGCTGATATGTTTTGTCAATGCATTTTGTTGAATGTGCGATCGATATCAGCCCTGGTGGTAAGAAATTGCAGTTACGTCCGTTTGTGCCTCGTTTGCTCTGGTAGCTTTGCCGTGATAATGTCTACCAAACAAGGTGAACATGAACATTAACTGCATCCACTTGCAAATACATACCATAGCATCAAATGGTAAAATGTATCTAAGTTTTCATATAACACCCGACCCGTGAAGAGCAAGTTTAGAAATGGTCTTCAGCAACCCATGCCTGTCGTAAGAGGCTTCTGACGGGATCGGGTGGTGAGGCTGCTGACTTGGTTAATGCATTTCATCTTATCCCAACTGCTCATGATATCAGTCACTGGATTGTCTCTAACATATACCCTGTATCAACACTTAATCTCATTAAAATCAGATCTTACTTCTCGCTTCCGCTAAACAAAGTACTTCCCGTTACTAGTCACAGTAGAACGACCTTTCGCGAACTTTGACCGACCAAGGAGAAGTTCCAGACTGCAAAAAATGTCTAATCAATTTTTTTTATAAACTGAACAAAAGAAATAATAGATGGCTGAGATTTTATCTCAGAGGCTTTTCCGTTCAAGTGTTTATCCCATACTAATACAACAGACCAACGATGATTTTGACGGAATCAGTCGTAAAGCCCGTGTTTACCTTTTCGAAGTTGCATGATTAAAAATCAAATTTCGCGTGTAACTTTCCCTGATCTGGTAAGCGACGCTCTGATTAGTTTAATGCGACGCTCTGATTAGTCATTCTAACGTGACCCGTAATGGGATGTCCTTAGATCTTTGTTTAGAACTGACATCTGATTTTAATGAGATTATATCAACCCTCGACCTCAGCAACCCGTGCCTGTCGAAAGACGCGATAACGGGATCGGGTGGTCAGGCTGCTGACTTCGTTAATGGATGTCATCTTATCCCAGCTGCATAGATCGATGCTTAAGATGTCAATCACTGGAATGCCTGGTCCAGACCCGATTATTTACAGACCACCGTCATATCGCTGGAATATTGCTGAGCGTTAAACAACAAGCAAACAAACAAACACGTCCCAGAAAATTATGTTTTAAATTCAGGCTTACACGTTTCAAGAAGAACTGATTTACCATGTGTCACTGCAGAACAAGTCCTCACCCATACTTATCATCTAAAGAGTTGACTGAAATAGACACGAAATGTGTCAAATGTTCATGCAATCTGTTTGTTTGAATGTGTTTTTGGCAAAAGAAAACCAGTTAAGAGATTGTTGTAATGCACTGTGAACTAAAACAAGAAGTAAGAATTAAGATTTCAGAGATTTCTCCATTGAAATATTCTAGAAAGAGAAAAGGTTTGTTGTTTTAAATAATTACTCTCACCAACATCTAATTTTATGCACCGACACCAGTTACTAGGTTACCTGAAAACTGCGTTAGGTAATTAATTACCCACGGTCCATGTATTACACATGATAATAAAGAGTTATTTCAACAATTGTCATAATACTCCCAGCTGTAATCTATGCCTATGTCATAATTTAAGGAAATGCGATTGTAAACATTTAGTTTTTGTACGAGCGTTTTAATGTATTAGTCTATATGCTAAGACCCGATTCAGCTGTGAGCGGCTTTGTTCGAGTGGGGGCGTGGCAGTTAATAGGAGACGGTGGCCTGATGTGGCCTATTGCACCCGCTGTGTTCGATCACAGGAGTCCGTATCTAAAAATAGACGCCCTCATGCATATTCATGACCATCTCCACACGCGAGCCCGAAGTCATGAATATGCATGAGGGCGTCTATTTTTAGATACGGACTCCTGTGGTTCGATCCACATTTTCCATACACAGCAAGCCGCATACTACCTTCCTGTGCGGAGTTTTGTACAGGATCATGGACTATATTTAGAGAATGACGCACGCGTTGCAATCGAGCACACTTCGACCTGAACCAGATAAAGCTGCGTGGAGCTTGAACAACTTCATTCATCAACACAGAGGCTTTCATTTCATGACCAGAGAAGAAATCGTGTCAAGTGGTCATTGTCGACATTGCTGGAACCTTATATCGTGGCTGCAGACGAAATGTAGTGTGACAAGCGGGTGATAATGGAGGAACGAGTTGGAATGTTGCTACTCCCCTGCTTACTGTGTGTAATCATCAGCATGGGAGAGTGTTCAATCGAACGCTCGCTCTTCACTTCAGCATCTAAACATCTGGCCCCGCGGGTTAAAAGACAAGCTTCTGGAGTTGCACATGTACCCAGTATAACTGATTTCTGTATCAGCTCTCGGGTTCAGTCGAGATTTGCTACTGTCAAAATATCCAGTGCTATTTTGAATCCAAAGACCGACAGCACAGAAGCAACTTTCTCTGTGCAGATACCAGAATCGGCCTTTATATCAAATTTCACCATGATAATTGATAACAAGATTTATGTATCTAAGGTATATAAGAAGAAAGAAGCTCAGACAAAGTATGCCAAGGCTAAAGAAGAGGGGAAGACGGCGGGACATATTAGGCACGATTCTACAGATTCAGCTCGTGGGATGGACATATTTTCCACATCGGTCAACGTTGCTGCCGAGAGCGAGGTCTTCGTCGAACTGACGTACCTCCAGTTGCTGGAGCGACGGCTGGGTTTATATGAACAGAGGATAATGGTCCAACCCAGGCAGATTGTGGACAACTTGACCCTGAATCTTATCTACGAAGAGGGTCCTCAATATTTTGACAGATTTACCTACCGGGCCCCCAACAGTAATGACGTCATGGATGCGTCGTCAGAACATGCGACTCTTATCGCATCTCTGTCCAGGCGACAGGTCACGTACAATCCTCCTGTGACTAGACAGACCCAAGTCAACGCTGACAAAGGCATTGATGGCGAGTTTGTTGTGTCCTATGATCTGAAGCATGGATTTGATGGAGGCAACATCATCTCAGCTCTCAATAATGATTATTTTGTTCATTATTTTGCTGTTGACAAATCTGACGAGTTGCCACCCGTCCCGAAAAATGTAATATTTGTTATTGATGTGAGCGGATCAATGGGTGGCAGAAAAATTCAACAAACTCGTGATGCAATGAAACAGATTCTCCTGCAGTTAAATGGACAAGATTATTTTAACATATTGCTGTTCAGTAGTGGTACTGTCGCATGGCAAACGGAACCTCTTCAAGCAACCCAAAACAATATTCGACGTGCTACAGTGTATGTTGACGCCAAGGTTCAAGCTGGGGCAGCCACAAATATAAATTCTGCTTTGGTTGATTCCATGAAAATCGTTTTCAGAGATACGAGAAATAGGAACAAAGCTGCCATCGTCGTCTTTCTGACGGACGGCCAGCCAACTTCTGGTGAGACTGTAGAATCCACAATTCGTGTTAATGTCCGACGTAATAACGTTTACAACAGGGTCGCCTTATTCTCACTAGGATTTGGTTCAGGTGTGAATTACAATTTCCTGCAGGAGATATCGTGGGAGAATGGAGGCTTTGCGAGACGTATTTATGAAAAGGATGATGCAGCGGAACAACTGACGGATTTCTTTAAAGAAGTGAACATCCCATTGCTCCTCAATGTGAAGTTTCAGTATAACACCAACCAGGTGGACACTTCAAAGCTGACTCGAACAACATACAATCAGTTCTTCTCTGGAACAGAAGTGGTGGTTGTGGGGAGGAGACTAGGTGATGACATAGACGCTACTGTGCAAGGTTCTACGGCCACTGCTAAAACTGTTCATCTTGTAGTTCCTGAGGCTTCAAAGAAACGTCTGTCTGGACCCTCTGGAGAGTTTACCGAGAAGCTGTGGGCGTATCTGACCATCAAGGACTTGTTGAAGAAGAAGGCAATAGCCACCTCTATGGAGGAAGGTGAGGTACTGGAAGCTCGTGCACTCAACATGTCATTGACGTATGGGTTTATCACTCCTCTGACCTCGTTCGTAGTTGCACAGGAACAGCCAGTTGAAGAAGATTACGCGTACGACAGGTTTAATGCATTGCCAACTAATCAAGATTTCCAACTTAGAAAGCGTTACGTCATTCCAGCATCAGAAAGTGCAGCACAAGCACCAGCGTCGTGTTCGGCATTCGTGCACGTGGCTGTTAACGTAGTGATGGTGATTGTCAGTTTTCTTTGCTGCCTACAATGCGTCAATACGGATTACAAATGTGCGTGATACAAACTGAATTTTTGCTCCAACATTGAGCAAATCGTGTTCAACGAGTTCAACTAGTAGTAGTACATTTTCTGACTTTGATATCTGTAATCATCAGCTGTGTAACATTCAAGCTGATTTTGACGATGGTGACATTTTAAGGACATGCTGGAACAAGGACACCTGCTTCGTTGGAACATGATGTTGACAACATGTGCAAGTCAATCTTTAGATTGTGTTGTGCGGGTTAATGTTCGTACTTTCATAATTTGTTGACACTAGTTTGAAATGAGTGTTTTAGTGGGGGTGTTATGTGCAATATTTCAGTAATACAACGTCGTGTCCGCAGATGATGCAGTTCGTAGAAATTTACCCACCCAAATTAAACCCACTTGCTGTCAAACCTGGCTGATCCTGATATGTGGATTGACAGGTTGATTTTCTTTTTTTAAACGTCGTACAAGCTAAGGAGTTAGCCTTACCATTGTTGGGTGGATACCAATACATATACCCGTGACTTGATTGTTTACATCTTCTTGTATGTTCAGTATTTATGTGTGCCTTTCTTGCTGATCTTGTCGACAGACCCAAATGCACATTGTCATGAAATGCACATCTCAAATAAGTATCGTTGAGTTTAAATGGACCGATGTTTATCCGAATGCAATAGTCATATTTGATAACTGTAAAACGTGACCTGAATGAATGAATGTCAGTAAGATAAATTCGTTGTCGACCGAACTCGAGGGAGCCGTCGGGTTCGAGGTACCCAGGGTACATCACATTATATACCCCTCGAGGTCGGTTGACAACTTATAATGTAACTTGGGAAGCATAGAAGATGAATTTCATGTGAGAGAGAGAGAAAATACAAAAGTCGAAAGATAAGCTGTATCATTTACTCAACCGATTTCACGAATGTGGTTATATATATAACCCTTCGCTTAAAATATGCATCTGTGTAGTCCTCTAAATACTACAAATTATTATGTTATGAGATATGTTGCTGTTCATCATGTTCGATCTACGTTAATATAAAAAAATTCTATTGACGCTGTCATACGACATTTTAGACTGTTGTATGGCAATTGTACTAAAGGGTCGTGTGGCCCAAACTATTGACTAATATCTGTTCTGTTCTGTTGTTGTGGCATACTAAAAACAAAGATTAGGTCAAAATAATTTACTGCCGTGGATGAAGGTATATCACAAGGAGCAATCTCCTTCAATTTGCAAATGAGTCACACTATTGGTTTAAGAGAGCTTAAGAGGCAAGTTAACACATTGTAGCTAGTGTGACCACCTTGTGCATTGCATCTTCACGATGCAAGGTAACTGACTGTAAACGTCAAGTTTCCACCTTTGAATTTAGTGGCTCGATCGTAGCGCCGGCATTGGCTATTACGAGTTATATTCCTTCTATGTCCCCCCTACTGACCAATCCTATTCCACCCCTCATATCACTTACAATTATTGCTTCAAACAAAATGACGGCTCCCAGTCAAGACCATCTGTTCAAGTTGTTCGAAGAAAAGTTTAACATTCACCCAGTGCATGTCGGTTCTAGCACATCACTTGAGCACGTTCATTGAAAACATGAAAACGTTTGGAAAATATCTATCGATTCCATCTTGTTGACATCTTTTGAAATCCGTTAATCGACTGAATTCTGCACGGCAGTCGCTATGTTGTTTAACGAACAGGATGTCGATTTCATCAGTCAGTTTTGGTTGGACTATACATGGACTCGCTAGTCCAGCCAAAATATAACTCCGGAATTACAGCCTAGTTCGGCAAGGGTGGAAACTGGACTTAAATAGTCAGTTAACTCACTTGACTCGAGAAGATATTGTGCATTGACGCAGAACTTACACTCTGGTATAACTGACGTCACAAAGCGTTATGGCCATGGTGACACATTACCTTCTGAAGGAAACTTGACTCACTAACGAAGACGACCCTTCTCAAATAACGTGTTTTCGTGTTGTCTGCACCACTGCAGGCGTCGACGTTGATGTTCTGCCGTCCTGATTGCCTGGCTGGGTGCCTCGCACGAATGAGGCAGATGCGTGTCATCGCAGTTGGAAATGGCAAAAGTAAATCCTGCTGCGATATCCCCAGTGGCCCATCTGGTAAATTCATATGTTAATACAGTGGAAAAATGTTATATAAGTGAAAACTAGTTGTGCAACCGGCCGGATTCGTTCAGTTGGTTGATCACTCTCCTACCCAGAGTTCCATGCGGCCAGCATAGTACCTCTGCCACAGGCCAGCGCCATGTGGCGATTCGTCATATCTTACACAGTCCATTCAAGATATTTCATATGTTTTTCATCTGTTTCATTTTTGATAAGTCTACATATCTAGATAAACACATGTCACAGAATGGTTAACTTTCATTGAGAAAATATCCTAAATCGTGAAAAACATTTTTTTTCCGTTTGCGTAGTTATCCTATGTTTACATTGGCTGTACGGCTCCACGTGCTGTCACCGAAGCCGTACGGAGAGCTAGCGATACGGTCACTTTGATGTGTAAACATGTATTGTCATGCAACTCACTGTCGCACCTATAGTAGCATATTTATATACTTATGCAAAACAATATGTTAAGCGCACCCTAATACTTGCATTAGTCCGTTCTATTCTGATTTTTGAAAAAGCGCGTTTGTTTACAAACAAGAGAAAAGTCCGGTCACTTGATATGCAAATTAGCCTATGGCTGCGTGTTATTCTTTGTCACCACTGCGCCGGCGTGTCAGTTCAGCCTGGTTCCCTGCGTATGCTGCGCTGGCGCTACACTGAGAGAAGTGGTTACAAAAACGGAGTTATTTCCTTTAGCTAACTATTTCTTGATTTGTTATTGCATCGCTATATCAGTCGATCTGAAAGTACTTCTTCATACTGCAGAACAGGCTCAACTCGTTACATTGACAACAAACAGGGAAGTGAGATCACGACGTTACCTGACACTAATGCTGAAGGGGTTGTTGTCGACACAGGTATGTACTCCGGGTATGTTTCAGATATGTTCATGTTCCAATTTAAGCTTTGATACACCGTAATCATTATATGAACATGAAGGTCTCTTTCGGACCGATAAAACTTTGGTGTTAAATATGTGGAGGTGTGTCTGTACCCCAAAAATTAACAACTTACAGTAAGTTACACGCTAGGCATAGCGGAAACCGGAAATACGTAAACACGAGTACACATAATATTTCCCTAATAGCTAGTTATTAAACTCATGTAAAGTCTTCTGTCAGGTATGTGCCTTAATGCTTGATATTCTTAATTATTTACACAGCGTTCTTAGTTATTCATATGACATTCTTAATGTAATTGGTGGTGGTGTGTTTTGTTTTCAGTAGCATATTTTAGTGACGCTTCAACCAATAACACTCCTAAATGTTCGAAAGCCTTCATACCAATTAATATTAATATTCTCATTGTTTCATGTTTTTTGTTTGTGTGTAGTTTAACGCCGCCCCCAGCAATATTCCAGCTATATGGCGACGGTCTGTAAACAAATCGAGTCTGGACCAGAAAATCCAATGATTGTCATCATAAGCATCGATCTACGCTATTGGGATACGATGGCATGCTTCAAACCAAGTCAGCGAGCCTGACCACTCGATCCTGTCAGTCGCCTCGAGCTGAAGACCAATTCTAATCTTCAAGGGTGTCATTGTTCATTCTAGCTACTAAGAAAGGAAGTATATTCACTATATATCCTATCCAATGTTATACGTTTTCAAAGGAGTCGGGTGGTAAGGACAAACACAACTGGATACCTGAAATAAAGAATGTATTATTTACGGGTGTGTTTTTTGTCTTTTGTGAAAATTGCACAGTATTGATAACATTCAAGTGTTCTTAGGAATATAAAAACACTTAACACAAGTGATCATGAAGGACACCTGCGTGAAAACGTTTCATCTTCACAATAGATTAGCAATTATAGTAAATTAAAGTCACATTTTCAACCTGAAATGTACTTTCCAAACATATCATTAATAAGATCATAGCACAATTTCAGTATAAAGAGGTGTCGTATTAAGATATTAATGTTGTTAATAGTATATAATTGTAACAGAGGAGAAATTGAAGATGAATTCCAAGTCGTATTTAAGTGTTACACGTATGTCAATTTAAGATCTCTCTTTCTTGAATATTGACTCTAAATCTGTAATGTTATTGATTAATGCTATCAACTCACAAAATGTACATGTTATCCTTTCTGTGTCTACTTATCTAAACCTTATTAATCATGTCATAGGAGACGTAATATATATATTTTTACGGGGCAATATATTCTGTTGTAGTTATTGTATCAGTTGTACTTTAGGCTATATGACACAAAATACAGGATACACCTGTCTGACTATATTAAGAAACCATCTACAAATAAAGGTAAAATTGCTACAAGTTGTTACGAACATTTTTGTGATAGAAAAGTGGTATAAACATAAAAAAATATATTCATGATCAAGTGTAACGACTATAAACAACACGAACTATATTGAACAAACATTTGTTTCAGATGAAATGGCATGTTCAAGCTTAGCTCAAGAAGACCTGGAGTGTCCTATATGTACCGACCTCTTTCATGAGCCTAAGTTGCTTCCCTGCGGACATAGAGTTTGTTCAGCATGCCTCAACAATTACATGAAGTCTTTAAATACGCAAGGTTGTGCATGTCCATTGTGCAAAAACCCTTTCAGGGGAAATAAAAAATTCCCAACTGATCACATCCTTCAGAATCTGATAAAGGACAGAAAAAGCCTTTCGTATGGCATGTGTAGGGTTCATGGTTTGCATCAAAGGCGATACTGCATCACCTGCTCCATGCCTGCGTGCGCTGAGTGTGTCCTCGAATGTCACAAGCGTTGTACAAATGTGCTTCTTATGGAAGATGCTACAAGGTCGATAGAAGCACAACTGCGAAGGTTCTCAAAAGAACTGGATAAAAACCTCATGAACATAAAATCATCTGAAGATGCTGCTTCATCCAAGATGAAGGAAATAGCCCAGCGGAACACTGAGGCAGTGGAACAACTCGAAAAGGCGAAGGTCGATTTCGTAAACCACGTTACAAATATGCAAGTCACCATAAATGGGGCGAGTCAGTCCAGTGTCTCACAACTGCAGGGTTATATAGGAACAGTGAAGCTCCTTATGTCAAAGACGGAGGAACTTGACCGTTGTTTGAAGGGAAGTCTTAACAGTGGAAGCAGTGAAAGAATGTCTGAATCAATCACTAAAGTTATAGAGAAGCAAGGGTTCCTGTGCACGATACCACAACGCTTGAAGGAGAACATAAGGCTGACCAGGCCGCTAACGAAGATGCCATCAGTAGACTTAGGACATGTCAGTTTCAGGAAAGAGGACTTCCAAGGTGTCAAAGGAAATCCTTGTCTCAGATGCATGTCATTTCTCGTGAAACTATTTATCATTTTAATTTACCTATTAGTGTTTACACTGACATTGATGATCTCATACGAAAGATATACTCACTGTCACAGGTTCTTTCCTGATTCACGATTCCACCTAGGAGGACGTTGCAGTTTCATGTGGTCTGCATAGAACAGATTTCTGGAAGTCAGACAAAAGACGGATGTGGGCAAAATTAATTGTGCTTTTGCTGATGGTATTCATGATCGGTGACCATACATGACATCAATGGCTTATTTGTTTATGCTGATTTCGACTGCTTCTGTGGTCTAGTGGTAGAGCGTCCGCCCGGAGAGCAGGTCGGGATTCGATCCCCGGCCGCGTCATACCAAAAGTTGTTGAAAGATGGTACTTGATGTAACCCTTGTTTGACAATTTCAAGTCGGTTCCTATTTGGGTGCTGCGTTACTCCAGCGAAGGCGGTGCAATCGTCAGTTAAAAACTGATTTCTTTGTGGTATGTTTGTCAAGACTAGGCTCCCGTTATTTGACCAAGTTCCTTTGGTATTTCTTTGAGTGTGTCTGGTAATTATTCATCATTGCAGACGTGAATAAACCAACCTAATGATTTAGATGGCAAATATGGAAGTATTGCTTATGCCGTGTGGGGCTCATGACGTACATTAGACACTGAACCGGGTAACAATGTAAGGGATATAAGATAAGCGAAAAAACATGTTTCTCTGTCGTCGTAAAATATAAAGCAGGCTTTGGCTAGATTATTTTTGTAGATTTTCTTTGGACATTAAAAAACATAGCTGATCTAGTTGAGTGTTTTTTTTGTCGTTTCACGCCGCACTCAGCAACATTCCCGCTATATGATGGTGGTCTGTAAATAATCGAGTCTGGACCAGACAATCCAGTGATTTACAGCATTGGGATACGATGACATGCATCAACCGACCACCACGTTAGTCGCCTCTTATGACAAGCATGGCTTGCTGAAGACCTATTCTCACTTCTATAGTACATTTTTGTAACCTGGTTCTTTACGGGGCTATTGCTGCTCTATCTTTGTATATTTTATTTATTAAAATAACAGGCATTTTGCAACAGATTAAAACGCAATTCATCATAAGCAGGGCACTTTAATAAAACATGGACTTCGTTTTCTATCACATTGTCATTATATTACGGGGATAGACGTTGTGCTCCTATCGCCTTATCGCCCGGTTGTTGTGACCACGTTGGAATGTTGCCAACTGGAGGTGTTTACTTAGCATTCCAAACTGCTGGGTGTGTACCATGAATGTTATCTCGTGAACAAACATGTACTGGCGCGATTAAATTTCGGAACGAGGCGAGATCTGACGTAACTGTCAGTTACGTAATAGATAACGAGGACCGCTGCAGTGTTGGTGTAAACGTGGAGGTCCACAAGGGTGAGGTTTGTAGTGAGAGATTCAGGTGAGTTTCATCATCATCCCCGCACACTGTCATCTAGAAATGATGAACACAGCTAATGCCACGTCCTAACTAGCTGCTTCCAAGTTGTGCTTACCCTAGCGACAGGTATGCGCTTGTTGGCAACATTTAGTGATACACTACCTTTACCCTTACCTGGTGTTAAAGGTGCACACTAGGATTCGAATGTCATGAAGATCTCGTTATTTGTAGGCACACACGCACACACGCACGCACGCACGCATGCACACACACACACACACACACACCAGTTAACGCCCACCCGATGACCTACCAGGATACGTGTTTTTATCGCATGTCTCATGGCAATAGGTTTTGGGTATGTGGACTTTGCACGCCCTTGACACTGTATTGCAGATTAATATGCAATCATGAAAACGTTCCGTGTTGAAACTATCACCATAAGGGTTCAGTGAGGTAGTTTGGTTAAACGCCTCTTTGAACAGTATTTATATATCACAATGTGTCAGCTGGGTGTGGGCGGAAAGCGCGAACTCAGGTGAAATCCACGAGCTGTGTGGTGCTGACAATCCTTAAAACATAATCATGGCGAATATGGTATTCGAACCCATGATCATTTTTTTGTTTCTGGCACGTCTTAAGCACACAGTTCTGCCTTAGACGCCTGGTCCACTCGATCCCCTAGCCCTCAGGATTTCTGCGTTTCCGAGTTTCAACAATATCATATCAGTGTCAGAGTTTGTTACTCAGACGTGTGTGACTTTAAGTCTCAGACGTTTACCACTTCGATGAAACTCACGAGCACGGGTATGGTGATGACAAACCTAGAAACATAATCGGGGCGAACCAGGATTCGAACCCACACTCATAGGTTTCTGGCGTGCCCAAAGGACGCAACTCTGCACAGCGAATCGCGGCGCCTTAAACGATTGGGCCACCCGTGCCCCTTGTGACATTAAAACAAGCTCTTTACATGATTTTAACAGATGTCCTAGACAGCATGACAAAACACATGCAGGCATGGGAGTACCCAAAGACAGCGCAAAGTACTGTGGAGAAGTACTTCTCCTCGCCTTGTAAGGATCAGAGCTGATCGGGGCTTTCGACAGAGTGGTGAATGTCTACGACCTGTGCCACTTTCGGGATTCATCCCACATCAAGTTGTCATGCCGCGATATATCCGAATAATTTCGAAACAGAATGAGTCCCATATGCATCTCCCTTACATTGTAGTGACTGGCCTTCCCAAGTAGCAGAATCAGTAATCAAGAAAATGGTCGGCAGTACTAGTGTAGGTGAAATATCATCGTATCTCTTTTTGTGGTTTGTTGATCATGAATAACAGTATATTGTCACCTTATTTCAGACGACAATGGAATATCCGAGCATATCTGAGGAAGACCTCCACTGTCCAATATGCGCGGACTTTTTTATCGAACCTAAGCTGCTTCCCTGTGCACACAGACTTTGTGCCAGCTGTTTAGGCGATTATGTGAAGTTCTCAAAAACAGATGATTGTCGATGCCCACTCTGCCAGAAACACTTCAGGAGAAAGGCAGTGTTCCCAACTGATCACGTCCTTCGCAACTTGGTTCAGGATAGAATAGTTCTTCCACTTGGCAAATGCAAAGTTCATGTTTTACAACGAACGCGATATTGCCACAGTTGCTCTATGCTTGTGTGTGCCGAGTGCATCATTGACAAGCACAGGGAATGTAGCACTGTGGTTCCTGTGGCTGAGGCCAAGGAGACGATGGAGGAGAAGTTTCACAAAGAAAAAGAGAGGATAGATGCTTTAGAACGGATTATAGATTCGGCTGAAGAACAAAGCACAAAAAAGATAGAAGAGACAAGATCAGTGACCACAGACGCATTTGACCACTTGGAGAAAGTTAAAGAAGAATTTGTTACTCATATTGTAAATATGCAAGACGCTCTCAAGGAACATGAAAATGAAAATGTTACACAATTACAGAATTATTTGACAATGGTGAAGAAACTAAAAACGAAAATGCTAGATCTCAATACCTCCGTGAAAAAGAGCTTGGACAACAAATCTGCAGATGGTCTGTTTGAAGCCATGAACACAGTAGAAGAAAGACAAGGTTTCCTTGGAACAATATCCCATCAGTTGGAGGAGGGCGTCGAGGTGCAGGTGCCGTCACTGAAGCTGTTTGTAAAGTCACCTACAGATTTCCCCTACGCCAAGATAGTCTTGAACAACGATAACTTCCACTACCGGAAACACTGGAGTGCATGGAATGTTGTCAGGGGATTTGTCCCTGATACTGTAATGATGGTCCACATTGCAACCATCATATATGCCATTTGTATGTTAACCTATTATTTTCTTTGGAATGACAAAAACGGATTCGAAATTCCGTATATCTGTCCCATCTCTCTTGCAGATGCATGTCCTAACCTCGAAACGTACGGTCTGGAATTGTACTTAAAATATGATGAAACTTGCTGTTCATCAGACGGAACTCTAGACATCTCATAGAAAGTCGTAGAACACTATCGTTCAGTCGTATTTGATCGCAGTTGTGTTTTGTACTCTGACTCGATCAATTCTAATATTGTGTCTGCTTACACAAACCCACACTTAAGTTTAAGGTGGTTCCACGGAGACAGTGTTGGATGAGGCGTAAAATAACGTTGTGACACCTTCAAATCGTCAGGTCGTGCAAGTTTACATCTAAGGCGAGGTGGAGACGGGTGGAGGTGTTTGACCCACAGTCGGGTGTTATCGTACGACTGTCGATGTGTGCTACCAATCAGCGGCTTGTCTGATCCAGACTGTCGATGTGTGCTACCAATCAGCGGCTTGTCTGATCCAGACTGTCGATGTGTGCTACCAATCAGCGGCTTGTCTGATCCAGACTGTCGATGTGTGCTACCAATCAGCGGCTTGTCTGATCCAGACTGTCGATGTGTGCTACCAATCAGCGGCTTGTCTGATCCAGACTGTTGATGTGAATACCTATATCTGCTTGCATGTAGGCTTCGGTAATAAAAAGTCAACTTTCTGAAGTGTTTGGTTTGTTTTTAATATTGATATAAATTTAAGTTTTAGGGAACATATATGCAGTGTTCATTCGTGAACTTTCATACTTAAATATTCGTGTTTGTTTGTGTTTTGTTCAGATTTACATTGAATGTTATGAGACACGTATGAAATTCCCTGGCAGAGTGGTTTCATAGTTGAACTAACTCGATCAGATCCATCCCTTCTTTTGAAGCGTAATCTCATTTAAATGGAAAACAAAAACTAATAAAGCTATTATTTCTTTAATACATATTAGAGAGAGAGAGTGTGTGTCCACACTAAAGTCCACATAACAAACAACAATTGTGAAACTAATGTGACCAACAGCTGCTATTATAAAGCAGTATATGTACAAGAATAATTCATAAGCTTGTCCATAAACCATCGTCAATGACATACATTATCGGAATTAAAAGTAAGCAAAATATATAATCAGAGACTAGGGATCGCAACTCTGCTAAACTAAATACCAGGAAAGTCGGGCACTCGTCACAAATCAGATGAAGTTAAGCAATTATGGTCGGGTGTCCGGCCGTTTTCGGCACCTTGACTCAAGGGCTTCGGACCTGGCCCACACTGACGCACATCTGGCAAGTGACTTTGTTCGAAATATGAATCTGTTCATCAAACAGTGAATGGGTACCCGGTAGGATTAGATGGTAATGTGAATGTTAACCTTCTAGCGCTTCACAGAGATACCCCCAGGGAGCTGAGACTGAAATTCGAGTGTACATTGATCCCTTGGTCGGGGTATTACAATGTAGCGATTGAGTGAGTATTGTTTTACGCCGCTTTAATAAATATTCCAGCAATATCACGGCAGGTGGACACCGGAAATGGGCTTCACACATTGTACCCATGTCGGGAATCGAAACCGGGTCTTCGGCATGACGAGCGAACGCTTTAACCACTAGGCTACCCGACCGCCCCATTACAATATAGCGCATGACGAGCGAAAGCTTTAACCACTAGGCTACCCGACCGCCCCATTACAATGTAGCGCATGACGAGCAAACGCTTTAACCACTAGGCTACCCGGCCGCCCCATTACAATGTAGCGCTTTGTGCAAGCCCCTGTGTGGTGTGAAGATACTGGCCTAAGGATTATTACTGTTAAAAGTTACTAGAGAACTGTTGAGGACTGTTTACGGCTAACTGACGCCAGACTCTGGATGTTGCAGTGTTACTGTATCTTCAGTGGGCCGTGACCAGGTGAACTTTACTTCCTTGGCCGAATTTCTTAGACTCATAAACAAGTATTTAAAAAAAACCAACATGCTTATCTGCGAAGTAATACGTCGTTATGAATATCAATCTGATACAGTTAATGACTAGCCCGCAACTACAGAAGAAAGTAGCACATATAGAACAATGAAAGGACAGAATACGTACATCAATGCCTAAGAAGCAACAAGGATTTCTTTGAGTGCTGATGATTCAAAAAGGTGTAAATTCAGTACCGGCCGCACAATATATTTTGTTTACAGGCACATCCAAAGGTTTCCTTGAATTAATCAAAGTGAATTTAGTTCGGTAAGAAAACCCCATTCGACGCAAAAGGTTAAGGGCAGAACGGTTTTCGGCATAAGGAATCATTGTGACATTGTCTCCATAAGGGACTTGGTCAAGAAGCGTTCTCATTAGTTCGTATGCTACGTCACCATTTTCTGCGTACGTTGGCGAGGAATCCCAGCCTTTGTTCGCTCGTTGAAGAACTCCATAGCCCATAACATCATCAGAAACTTTGTCCAATGCCACAAAGACAGAGGATGCATCTCCAATGATAACCTTTCGGGAAAAAAACTTTTCTTTTGAGTGGATGTAGATTTTCATCATAGTGCTTAACAGTCGTCAATGAGGCAGCATTTACGGGCAGTATACGGACGGTGCTGTTCATCATTGGTGCTAACGCCATTCGGCGTTTCTGAAGTGTCCAAAGTTGCGATGGTTTAAAAGATAACGTTTGGGCAATATTGACATTTATGGCAGTTCCGAAGAAACTTTTATGCCTTATTTGCCAAAAAGCCGACTCCGTGAGTTTTAGTCCTATTCCTCGGTGCCTTGACTTGGCATGGTTGCCACCAAACACTGTTTCGTTGTCTCCAAAACTGTACGTACATGTAGCAATGCACCCTACAACAGAGCGTGTGTATATATCGTGACTCAGTTGTATCAATGATTGCTGAAACGACTTCAGAAATAGTGCATCTACAATACGCCAACCTGCAAATACTCAAACTTGATTCGCACACCAGTGGTTTACAGCATGATCAACTAATTGAACCTGATCAGATAGAGTACATTATTCTCTGTTCCACAATCCTAATCGTGAATTATAGTGTATATTCCCATATCAAGATACATATTATAGATTTGACGACAGGGATGGTTATGTTGGAGTGGTGTTCTATGGTCATTAAGGGACGTTTAACGACAGGACACAGATACACTTCTTACTGATCCACACTGCCGTAATTTAATGATATGCCCTCATTCTTGCATTCATTGCGCCATATAGTGTCGAACAATGTTCATGACACCTCATACCTTCAGACGTGATTTACGCAATAGGTACATTACATTCTTACGCTAAAGGATCAGGGTTTTGTTTGCAAATCAAATAACCTACGCGTGTTTGAATCTCAAATTAAGGAATGGCTGTTTCACGAAACCGGATATGAAAACAATTCTCACCAAAGCCCATGTTCTGTGTCTTGTGGACACATCGGTCAGATACACAAGCTATATCCTGTGCCCGCACACCTACACATTATGACGCCACACATCAGCAAAAGCTTGAAAGAGCGAACTCTGGTTTACAGTCAAACTGTAGTATTACCCGACATGATAGTGATTACGCTTGAGTGAATGGGAGATGGTCCATGAATACCCTAGTCCAGTATAAATTTGGAAGGCCGAAGGTAAGGTCGATTGTAGAAGTTTAACACTAAAAGGGGTATGTCACATCATAATGGGGCTGAATGTAATGGGTCACACCTTAACTCATTCGGTTCGATTTGAATTGTACAAGATAATAATGCATGCATGACTTCTACAGACCGAAAACATGCATGTATTTCTGTTGGTTATTCTCACTTCCTTTTTCGTTTTTGCTTCCAATTTGACATTTATACATTTCATGTGTGAATATATTCTCGCCTGGTCCTCACGAGCTCCCAATCCATCGCGTCTATTATATACAGGTAGTTACAATTCTTATGTCCAAGTGCTATGTTCAAAGAAACAAGTATATGAAACGCCCCTTGGCACACATGCTTGACTGTCCAGCGCAGTATATTTCCATTGCATTACATATTACAGTCTATATAAGAGCAGGTGTGTATATATGTGAGTGAGTGAGTGAGTTAAAGTTTAACGTCACATCGGCAATATTTCAGCCATATCGTGACGAAACAAAATTAGATATGAACAATATATATTAAACTGTTTAAAATTCTGCTGACAAAGAGCAGTATAATAACTAGAACATCACAGACATTCGTAAAACTAGTTTGAGAACAAGTAAAAATAGATAACTAACTAATCATTTAACAACACATTATAAAAACAGGCTATAGATCGCCACCAACTGAAGGTTGATCGCCGCGCTGGGGACCATGAGGACTTACAGTACTTTTGCTACCTGCATGGACCCCAGTCGGATTTACATAATCCTTTCAGTTGTTGGCGATGACTGACAAATTTAGCCAAACAGTAAAATTACACATATACTACTACTAAAAACACGGAAGAAGTAAATATACCTTGAAAGACGTGGTCTTACATACCCTCTCAGGGGGACAATAATATTACACTACTTTAACCCCCTTCGAGGATATAGCCACTAACAATCTCAGTTATTGATTTATTCAACCAATTATAAAATGCATTTATTTAATTACAAAACATAATAATCAAAACTTATGAAGCAATTCAATTTCCTTTAAAAACGCTATAAATAAATGAGAACTAATAGTGTTAAAAAGATCCTTCATAGATTTAACCTTGAAATAGTTATCCCTTGTGATGGAAAAATCAACACAGTCAAGCAGAACATGCTTGTCTGTGATTCTTTCATCACAAGGGATGCAGAATGGAGGATCTTCACCTTTTAAAATATATTCATGAGTGTAACGTGAATGGCCAATACGACATCGTCTTAAAATGACCTCTTCAAATCTGGACTGACAACCCAAGTAGGTATAACCGATATTTGCTTTTTTTGCATGTAATTTATTTATACCCACTTGGGTGTCCCACTTCTTCTGCATTATATCTTTGATGTAAGATCTAATGACAGGTTTATAATCACTGGTATGGTATCAGAAGTGGTGTCACAGATTTGTTGAGTGCTGCTTTTGCAGCAGCATCAGCCATTGCATTACCAACAATTCCAACATGGCTGGGTAACCAACAAAAAACGATGTCATATTGCCCAGTCGCAAGATCATTAAATAACTCAAGAATTTCAATTAAAAATGGATGCTTACATGAAGTAATGAAGTCTTTATATTTGGATTTCTTCTTGATATATTTTAGTGCTGTTAAAATTGCGTGCGCTTCTGCTGTGAAGATGGAACTATTATCGGGTAATCGTGAAGATACTGTTCTGGATCCAATGATGGTGGCACTAGCAACTGCGCCACCATCCTTGGATCCATCTGTAAATATAGATTTATATGTGTCATAAGTGTTTCGTAATTGATTGTATTCTTGTTTATAAATTAGTGGATTCGTTTCAGATTTCTTCAGACTAGTTAATGTAAGGTCTACCTTTGGCCTTACCATTTGCCAAGGAGGCGATGAAAAAAGTTGTGTGGGAGCTATATGCTGAAAGTTAATGTTCGCAGCAGAAACGACTGATTTAATTCTTATTCCTAGTGGTGGAACAAGAGATGTTTTCTTATTGTAAATATCCTCATAAAGTGGATTAAATACGCAATTAAAAGCTGGATTTGACTGATTGGAATATAATTTTGTGGTG